GGGGGGGGGCGAATATTCTACAACATTCCTTCACTATGGTGGATGTTTCTTATAACATAGTAAAAGTTAAATTTCAATATTGTTGTCCTGCCTGCAGGATGCTGATTAAAGTCTGATGCAGTGGACCCCCTAAGTACTCTCATGCCTGGAGTATTTTATTAATGTTTTCACAATGACCTAGTCAGAAGTTACCTAGCAATTTTGAATTGCTAGGTCAAAACCCACTTAATAGGTATTTATGACCTAGAACTTCAGTAACAGATTGGAGAAGTCATGCGTGTCAACTCAAAAGGAAAAAGAATGTGGAAACGGAGTAGTGTCAGGCTGAGATTCTTAGAGTTGGTAGGCAGGCACCGATAGCCCTGTTAGTTGGCTTTGGTGCCTGGGGTGCCCCGGTGTAAGGTGTGGGAACCACGCCTCTAATGTCGCTCCCCGTGTGTGGGCAACACTTGGGATATCAATGGCCTAAGGATAAGAACAGCGTGTGGGCCCGTCATTATGCTTATGGGCCGGACATTGTACCTCTTTGACAGGGGTGTGACTATGGAAACACAGGGGCTGCCCTTTTTGCAGGGACTCAGTCGTGACAATGAATAAGTCACTCTTCCTGCCAGGAGTTTTGTAAAAAACGGCACGAGGAGGATGCAGAGGGAATTCAGCGAAGAACAAGAGGTCCATTGGCTCGAGTTTTTAGTTCTGGTGAAGCCTAGCATGAGATCCACGCTGGGCATGGAGTGCAGTTTTGAGTCATGTTTTCCTCAGCACCCTTCTCGTCTCTCCTTCTCCGTTTCCCCTCACTCACTCTCCCTGCCCCATTTTTTGCAAACTTTGTTCTTCAGAACCCTCCAAAGAACGCGTCATGGAAGATGACCTTTGCAGGCTCACAGGTGTCGGTGCTTTCAATATGCACAGTCAATAGTTCAGTCTTTCTAATTGAAGTCTGAAAGCAATCATTTGTATTTTGAAAAAGTGTGTGTTCCTTTTAATTTTCAGCACCAAGAAGTTCAGTGTGTGTTGCCACCAGTCTTTCTGGAAACATGTCCAAGTGTCTCCTGCACACTGTTACCTGAGCGCACACCTGGAGGCTGTGCTGTCCTGTCCCTGTGGTACAGGGTAGGGCGTACAGACTCACTCCATGAGCTCCACAGAGCCGAGTCTCTGCATAGAGAGTACTAGAACAGGACGGCAGCCACCCCCACCCCCACCCCCTCACTCCCGCTTGGGTGCCTTGTGACCGCCGTGACTGGCTAGTGCTCCTTTCTGCCTTCCAGTGAGTCCAAGCTCTTATACTTTCTCCTGTCATCCACAAGGGAGTATCTCACTGTGGTGGAGGTAGAAGATGCTTCTGGGCAGGAGACGCCCTGGCTGGGACTGAGCAGGTGTTCTAAATGCTTCCCGCAGTACCAGGGTCACGGGCCTACAGGCCCACAGCACACACTACGCCAGCAAGGTGTGGGAACGCACTCCAGGCACATTGCCTCCTCTCTCTGTCTTCCTCCCCACCCTCCACCGCCTCTCAGATAAAAACAGGAGAAACAAACCAACTAAACCAAGTCTATTAGGACCATAGCTGCTGGCTTACGCTTTCCTTTTCTCGGTTCGTTTTTCTCATTAGCCTCAGCAGTGAGTCCAAAACCTCACGAACCTGGAGCCAGAATCCGCAGTGCAGAGAGCAAAGCAAGGCAGACGAGATGTGCATACAGAGCCACTGTATTCCTGGGAGGGAGCTTGAGGCTTGGGTCACTTAATGTACATGGAAGGAATGTACATTAAGGACAAATGCAGACTTTCTTCTTTCCGTGCGGATACAATGACTTGTCTTAAACAGAAGGGTGTGAGAACATTTTAAAATCTTTTAAGATAATTATATTATTCATAGTTTGGTATCTAGAATACTCCAAAAAATAGGAATCAGTTGCCTGTCCTCAAAATTTCCCAGATTCCTGTCCTATCTTGAAAATCTAATGAATTTAGCAAACCAAGTCTGCCAGCTGCTTTCTTTAAGCTACCTGCCTGGAGACTGTGGTTCCCACCTGCCTGCCCATATGCTGTCTGCTTTGACCACCAAATACTTGCAGTAACCCTATGGCTGCTTCAAGAGGTAGCTGTCCGAACTTTGCAAGTTAGTTACTGAAATACTGTAAGAAGTTGTTCTTCTCTTAATGGGGGTGGGGGTGGGGGGTGGTCACAGGTCACAGAGTAAATTCTAATAGTGGTTGCTTCTGGCAGAAGTGAGGAGAGAGATGTTTCTTCGCATCATTTTTTATCTGGGAAAGCACTGGAAGGTTCTAGGCATGCTATAATTCTGATCCTTGCGAGTCTGGGTTGGAAGGGAGGTTGAGTGTGTTGTTAGCATCTTGTGATGGTGTCCGCACAACTTGATCCCAGTGTTCTAAGTGAGTGTGAAGACGAAGGAAGCCTTCTTTATCACCCTGCCTGTTTTAAGTTGGGCTGGTTCCTCTCTGCTGGATCACCTCGTCCTGAGGCACAGGAGTCCACAGGAGGTGGCTTCCCCTGGGCTAGGTCTGTGCCAGTCAGCTACCCACCCTTCAGAACTGCTTGCTCCTGTTGGTGGGAAAGGAGCATTGCTGCTGAGCTTTTAGAGTCTGCTGGGGCCGGTAAACAGAACTTGCCTCTGGGCTACATAGGTGGAAGCTGAAGCCAGAGGGATTAAGTGATTTGCCCTCAGTCACACTGCTAATTAGTAATGGAGCCAAGATTAGAGTCCCTGTCTGGCAGCACCTGGTCCTGAGCCCTTCCTTGGCCACCCCCTCCCAGCCCCTCTCATCCCTTCTTCCTGGCATGGCAGTGCAACCTGAGTTTCCCTTCTAGAATAACCCTAAGCTGGTAGTGAGGCGTTCTCCCAACATATGTTGAACCATTTGGCGAGTATAGTTGGTGCTGATTTGAGCCATTCCGGCATAGCTGTGTGGTTCTGTAACCTCAGCAGCAGGTGCTGTGGACATTCCATGAATACATTTTCATGCTAATAAGCGAGCTCGGTGACATTGGAGTTGACAGGGAACTTATTCACTCACCTAAAAAATAGCCAAACAGGTTAGAAGCCTGAGCTTGTACCTCGAATGTGCTTGGGTTATAATTATGTAAGGTGTCTGAGATTCATCTGCGTGTTTTTCACAGTGTTCACTATAGCCAAGGAGAGAGTGTTCTTTTTGCTGTCCGTGACAAACGCGTTCTCTCGCGGGCTTTGGTCACCGAGAAGCTGAATCTCTTTTCTCTAGCAGGTCTCCATCTCTCATGCATTTTTCTATTTTTGTTTCGTGATTGCTTGGTGTTTTAGCTATTTTAATATGGGTGGGGGTGAGGGGTGGCTCAGCGGGTAAGAGTGTTGATGGCTCTGCGGAAGATGCGGCTTAAAACTGTCCTGCAATTGTAGGTCCTGGAGGACTGACACCCTCTCCTGACATCCTCAGGCAGCCACGTGCCTGTGGGAACACACACATGCTCACACACACAATAATAATAATAATAATAATAATAATAATAATAATAATATAAATCTTTTAAAATGTAACGTCAGTCTAATACCTTTTTAGCACTGTTTTTTTGCTTCTGATTGCTGCATTTGTGGCATGCCCTCCTTGTTCTTATGGCTGTCCCCTTTGCTCACAGAAAACTTTGTGACGTTTTTGGTTTTCCTTTTGTGTTAACTTTCCAATAAAAAAGAATAAACTTTGCAAATAAGAAGCACCGCACACTGAAACGAACCAAGGTCTATAGAACTTACAGAAGTCTCAGTGAACTTCTGCACAGTTCGGGAACTCGGTACCCTAGGTTAGAGGAATTTGCAGCATCATACTGCCGCTTTATTCACTGCAGCAAAAAAATTGCAGTCATCCTAGTTGTCCATCAACAGATAAATTGGTGATGAAAACTTGGGGTGCCTGAATTCGTGTGTGTGTGTGTTTGTAATGGAATACCATTCCGTCGTAAAGAAAAAGGTAATCTTTAGAATTTTGCTGCTTTCCCTGTTGGCCTTGTTTCTTCTGGAATAATTTTTGTTCTCCCATTCTCCTGAGCCTCTTTCACGTTTTAGACATTGTTCATATGTTTTAGGTCCTTGCTTTTTTGTGCAGTGTAAAGCTGGGTGGGCACTGTTATGTCTGACCAGACGTCGGTGCAGTGGAGGGTCTTGCCGGCTGTCAGATACGTCTGTTGGAAAATGGGAAGGCTCATAGCTGCTCCAGTGAACCAGCGGTAGAATCAGCGGGGTCTGTGCGAGCCGCCCTGGCTCTCCCTGGACAGTGTTCTGTTTTGTGGGAGGAGGCTTCCGTTTGTCATGTGGAGTGGAAGCACACTAGCGCTCGACCAAAACAGATCTTTGAGTCCTTTAGTTTGTACCTCCGCTCTGGTTGCCTGCTTCTTCGTGCACCCAGGGATGTGTTGTGTAGCCACTAATACTAGGACTCATTCTTGTTTCCTCTCTCCCCCACCCCCCACACAATACAATAAACAGATAGCCTGACCACGAGCTTTGCACATTTCAGCTGCTTTGCATGTGCTTATAATTCCTTGCTTCTCATAATGAACTTAGTAGGAAAATGCATTTGCACCTCAGCTTTGCAGAGGGGTGCCTAGGCACAGATCGGTTGGGGTCCCTTTGGGTATATTTGGGGCCACACACTAAGTGGGATACCTAGAGCTCAAACCTAAGCTGTGTTTACATCCGTCTGTGCATTGGTTAGCTTTCCTCTGTTGGCAGTGTTGGGGTGAAGTGTGGAGATGCATGTCTGTTCAAGGTAATCTTGAACGGGAAGCTTACCCTGTTGTGGGGCTGCTGTCTGTGGTAAGCACCTCAAAGCAGCATCTGCAAGCAGCTTTTGATGTCTGAGAGCCAGAGCAGCCCAGCTTGGCTCCTCCACCCAAGAGAGCGCAGCACGCTTCACTGTATGTCCTGACAGCTTCTGGTGTTGTGCACCCTGAGGGAGGTGTGTCGTCTGAGCCATTTGGACAGCCCCTATGTTCCTCTCTCATCCTAGGACTGACGGCACAGCACAGACCATGGGTGTTTACTCCTGGTGGAAGCAGCCATCCTGGATGGTGGGCAGTCAGAGAAGGAGAATGACTCCAAACTTGCCATGGCTCCTGTCGGCACTCACGCTTCTGCATCTGACCGTGCAAGCAAGTAGTCTGAAGAGGGGTAAGTACGGAAGCCTTGCAGCAAATGAGCAAGCTGGTTTACTTTCCACTCTAAACTAGTACTGTTTCTCTGCAGTCTTCTTCCTCTGTGTTTGTAGTTTCTTTTTAAAAGCCTCTTTGCCAAAGGCAGATCGAAATATTCTTTTACCCTATACCAAATAATAATGCATAATTTTCAGACAATGATACGCATTCCTTTAGGATACAGTTCTCTGAGTTTTGACAATGTGCAGTTGCTAAGTCAGGCACCATCAAGATCTGGCTGCGATCCAGAGCACAGAAAATGCCCACTGTGTCCCGGTAGCCAGCCCTTGCCGCCCCGCCCAGCCAGCAGTGCAGCTCTCTGTCCCAAGTGTTGTCGCTGAAGAAAGTTTTCTAAACGGAATCGAAACTCTTTTCGTGTGTTTCTTGTGTCTTATTTAAAACGTTTTTAGGAATGTTTATGCAGATACCGCTTGGCTCATTTCTGTGAAGGATGCTACTATTCTGCCCATCAACTTTATCTTTATAATGCTTACATAATTAAAAAGATCTCTTCCCCCAAGATTACGAAGTAAATAATGTGACTGTGGTAACTGCCGGTTGCTACTGTGCACATTTCTAAGGTGTTTCTGATCTTTGTGTTAATTTATAATGTGTGACAGCAGTATCATGCCTGTAGTAATAAGATAATAAGCCTTTTCATGACATTATAGCGTATGAGGTAAGTTTTCATACTGTTTTTCCTTCCTCCTTGCTTTCCTCTTCCCTTTCTTGTGTTTCTCTTTCCATCCACCCCCTCACCTTCTATCCTTCCCTTTCCCCCACTTCCCCTTTTTTCCTATTCTTTCCCATCTTCTATGCTGTTGAAATAGGAGTGGCAGGGCTGCGTCCCCGGCACCCGGCTGCCCGCATGGCTAGTTTATACCCAGAAATAATTACACGGAAACTGTATTCTTTCAAACACTGCCTGGCCCGGCTAGGTCCAGTTTCTTATTGGCTAGCTCTTACATATTGTTCTAACCCATTTCTAATATTCTGTGTAGCCCATGAGCTGGCTTACCAGAGAGGATCTTAACCTGCGTCTGTCTGGAATGGGAGCATCATGGCGACTCACTCTCAGCTTCTTTTTCCCAGAATTCTCTTCTGTCTACTCCGCCTACCTAATTTTCTGTCCTATGAGGGCCGAGGCAGTTTCTTTATTATTACAAGACCCACCTCCATCACTACCCCTTTTTCTGTTTAAACAAAAAAAGAAAGGCTTTAACTTTAACATAGTAAAATTACATATAACAAAACAGTTATCAAGTAAGAATTACAGTTAAATATTTATATCTATTTTATCTCTTACCATAACTAAGGAAAACTATAACTATTCATTCTTCAACTCCATCAAAGACTCCAGAAGGATATAATATTACCTAAGTAAACAAGAAATAAGAAAACTCTAGAAATGACAGAGACATCTCGCTGCCTAGACAGTCACCCAAAGTTCCTCTGTACTGTTGGGGCATCCATCTTCGGCCTTCAGGCCCATAGTATCCAGCAGACACCTCCACGAAGCAGGAAATTCCAAAGACAGTTCAGTCACTTTCTGCTGTGTCCTGCAGAATGTCTTGCAGATTCTTTCATGAATCAGGAATCCCGAAAGATCATCTCACCTTTAGGCAAGTTCAGCAGTCCTCTCTCTGCAGGTTCTCTGTGTCCAGTTTATGCAATAGTCCAGGCAAGAACAGTCTCTTGCCCAAATGGCTATCAAACTCCATAAGGATCCTCTTCGATGCCCATCTTCCTCTTGAAGTAGATTGGTGCTGCCAGGAGCAGACGTGTCTCATTGTAATGAAAAGCCCTAAGTTATTAAAACATTTAAATGCCATATTCTGCAGCCTTTGAGAGACATGAAGAATGCCTATCTAACTGAAATATATGTCTATATATCTAGAAAATCTAACATGACTACAAGCTTTACTATTATCAATGATTATCCATTAACAACCTATATTTCCTAATTATACATTACATTTTTAATGAACTACACAATCACAATACCTTAATCAAGATCAAAAATACATATAACAAAATTGACCTTAAAATTCATACCAATGCAAATTATTTATATCTATATCATATCCCCCTTTAAATGTAAAAGAACATTTATAAACAATATTTGGGAACATGGGCGTAGTTTTTTCTCTCCAAACTGCTTCCTGCTGAATAGGGGCGCTGTTAATCAGATCATTTAGGGTGTAACCTGTGTGCCAGGTTCATCTCAGTTGGCAATTGAGCGAAGCAATTTTTTGAGGGTGTTCACAGCAACCTTTCAGGAGGGCGTGGTCTATCATACCAAATCGGAATAGATGCAATCCACAGGGTCACGTCCTCTGTGAAAACAAAAGAAGACCTTTTCCAAAGCATCATAACCTTAGATCCAAATTCTGAAGTCAAGATACCTTTAGAACATATGTGCAGGTTCAGCTTAGCAGCCCATATAATAAAATGTCTCTTTGTACTTAGCTCCTTCACAGTCAAAAGTTTAAAAGAAAACACAATGTACATAATCCAGACTCTCTGTGAATTTTCCATTTTTACGTGGCTTATTTTTCTTTATTTCTCTTAATCTATAACTATCTGTACTTCTGTACTCTGTCTCTTTAAAGACTTTACCCTTTTTCTTTTTAAGACATTAACTTTATTCTTTATATTCTTTTTCTTCTCTCTCCCAAGCCTACGTATATTCATCCAACAGTGTCTGAATCTGTTCTATTGTGAATCTGTAATTTTTTTATTATCCAGGAGCATTTCTTAAAATGTTAAGCATTTCTTAAAAACTTAAGTTGCACCATGTATAGGTAATACGGTACTGCCTGTGTCCTGCCCAGTCTAAACTTTAACTGCTCAGTTTTAAGGTAATTACGGTAGTTTCTGCCTGAGATCAGCACAGTTCATCATGGAGCAAGCCGCTCCTGCCTCAGAGTCATTTGGTGCTTCTGAGCTGAGCACAGTTCCAGGCACACAGCAGTTCACATTGGAGCCGCAATCAGCAGTTTAATTCTGAGACTGAGTGTGCAGCACAGAAACTCTTTTCATCCAAGTTACAGCCAAATCTGACATGCAGAGCACTGTGCAGTCTGAAAACGCGTCTCTGTATGGCGGCAGGAATCCGCCATGCTCTTCTGCCTGCCTAAGCCTGATTCTGCCTTCTACCCAGGTGCAGGCGGGGAGCCTGAGCCATCTGCAGGTCTCAGAGCACTCTCCTCCGATCCCAAGCGGGAACACAAACATACAGTCCCATAAAAGCCTTGAAATGCTTTAAAGCCAGAGTTCACGCTGGCAGCCCCAGGAAGCCGCGCTTTAAAATGATGCAGCTTTTTTTCTGCTGCTATTGCTGAATCAGGAAATCTCTTTATGGCACGCCACCAACAGAGAGCAAAACTCTGTGTTAAACTCTGTTTCCCTTATTTTTAAGCCTTCTCAGGTTTTTAAGTGGATTTAGCCCATCACGTCTGGGCGCCATCTGTTGAAATAGGAGCGGCAGGGCTGCGTCCCCGGCACCCGGCTGCCCGCATGGCTAGTTTATACCCAGAAATAATTACACGGAAACTGTATTCTTTCAAACACTGCCTGGCCCGGCTAGGTCCAGTTTCTTATTGGCTAGCTCTTACATATTGTTCTAACCCATTTCTAATATTCTGTGTAGCCCATGAGCTGGCTTACCAGAGAGGATCTTAACCTGCGTCTGTCTGGAATGGGAGCATCATGGCGACTCACTCTCAGCTTCTTTTTCCCAGAATTCTCTTCTGTCTACTCCGCCTACCTAATTTTCTGTCCTATGAGGGCCGAGGCAGTTTCTTTATTATTACAAGACCCACCTCCATCACTATGCCCCTTTCCTTTCTTTTCAGCCTCCATTCCAGGGTGGCTTTTCATTTTGTGGTTCCTCTGCCTGTGCCCATATATTCCATCACGCAGTGTCATTGTATGGGTGTGGATGCAGACTCTTGGGACTGTCATCTTCTGAGCTGTTTCTTTTGCACTGGTTAAGCCCACACACGAGAGAATATTTTCTATAGGCTGGTGTGAGTTGATTCATTGTGTTTGAATGTGATTTACAATAGTGACTGATTGTTGTTTCCCGTGGAGGGGCAGTCTGGTGCGAACAGGGAAGCAGCCCCAGCCAGGCAGGTTTGTAGATGTGGTATACACCTAGAGCTTTTCTGGAATAATTCTCTTCTCTGGAAGTGAAGAGTTTGCTTGTAATCTAACCCCACTACTACTGCTCTACTACTTGGCTTTTATTAGTTACCTTTTAATTTCAGAAGCAAAGCACATCCCAACTCCTCCTCACACACGCGTGCACGCGCACGCACACGCACGCGCACGCACACACAGTTTCTTAGTTGACTGCAGTTCTTTGTCCAGGGCTGAAACCTCACAGCTGTCGCTTTTCCATGTTAGCATGCCTATTGGTGTCATGATTAAGCAGCTATGTTGATGAGAACTCATGGGTGTAGCTTCTGACATTTCTAGGAGAAACAGTCTCACAGCGAACCCCTGTTGCTCTGATTTTAAAGTCTTTCCACCCCTTTTTCTGCAGTAATCCCTGAGCCTTAGGTGTAGGAGTTGCTTTGTAAATGTATCTATTAACACTGGGTTTCACAGCTCCTCATTTTGATCAGTTGCGGTTTTCTATAATGGTCTCCAGCTGTTAGAAAGAGAGGTTTCCCTGATGAGGGATAAGGACTAACTATGCTTCCCTGTGAGCCTAAGGACGCATGTGTAGAGTGTAGTTAAGGATTGTGCTGGTTTAGTGAAGTGGCTGTTGTTAGTCGTCCTACATGATCCATGGTTCAGTAGCCCCAGGTAGTTGGCTAGAGTTCCAGGCATGATTTTCCTTTTGTTGAGTGGGTTTGGTTCCTGCCGACATACGAGAGTGGGAGAAATAGCTTTACCCGGGGAAGAGCATGCCAAGGGCTAACCAGAGCACATGGTCAGCCCTGAAAATGTACCTAAAGGTAACATTACATGGACTGAGCAGGTTGCACTTATTACTTAGGAATATATAGCCAAGTGGTGGTGGCGCATGCCTTTAATTCCAGCACTTTGGAGGCAGAGGCAGGTGGATCTCTGTGAGATCGAGACCAGCCTGGTCTACAGAGAAATTTCCAGGACAGAGAAACCCTGTCTTAATAAACCATACACACACACACACACACACACACACACACACACACACACATATACACACACACATATATATACATATATGCATACATATATATAAAAATATATGTAACATACATATGTAGCATACAAATATATGTAACAGCAACTAGCGAGAATTGAAGAGAGAAGGGACATAAACTTGAAAGAACAAGAGGAGTATACATGGGAAGGTTTAGAGGGTTGATAGGAAAGGGGGTAGTGATGTAGTTGTATTATAATCTTAAGAAATTTAAAAATATATTCATTTTAAAAACCCACCGAAAACAGAGTTAGAAAAATGGCTAGAAAGTAGCATCCTGTGAGTGGGGTCCTTTCTTCGTGGAGAGGGTGGTCCTCTGTGGCCCCAGTACTTGTCTCGCCGCCGAGACACTGACCCTCAAAGTGCTTCATGTGTGCTCTGTATTGTGTATACACCTGCTTGTTGCTTTTCCTCCTTTAGGAGCAATTCAGAATCTGAAATGTACAACCAACAATATGCAAGTGTGGGACTGCACGTGGACAGAGCCCCTGGGGTTCAGCTCTGGAACTGTTAAAGAAGTTTGCGTTAGAGACAGGTAATGAAACCCTGGGGTTCGCCCAAAGCCGTAATCCAGAGCGTCCTTCTTGGTTACTGTAGAGTGTGACGGTTTTGTTCCCGGGCGTCCAAAGGAGGTTTTCACTCGGTCTTCTCTTTCTTAAAAATTCTGTTTTACATTAGCCCGGATGGAAACAAAGTCTTCTAGCCACAGGTTGGTTTCTCCCGTTGTACGCAGAATGAAAGTGGAATACCGCCCACAGCGTACTGATCTGGTCAGAGGGCCTTGCGGGTCTAGCCAAACCAGTGTCTGCCTCTGTAAGATTGAAGTCTGTGTCTCACAGAAAATTCCCGCGACAGTGACAACGGTTCCACACACAGGTGTTGACTCTCGGGGAAGTGGTCTGGGTGCGGCAGCTCAGGGCCGGCACAGCCATTGATGAGCCTGTCCTTGTTGTCTGGTTCCTTTGGCATCTTTTGCCTGGAATCTCATGGTTCAAGGTGATTCATAAGGAGTAGCCTTGCATTTGAAGTAGCGAGCAGCGCAAGGAGGAATGATTTTCTATTTAGAAGACTCCTAAGAAGTCCAACAGAACCCCTAGGCTGACACTGGCTAGATTGTCTCAGATGTTAATAAGTCCGGCTCCTCAAGAGTCTTGGAGCTAAGTTCACCTGTAAACAACGGGTCCATGTTATTAAGGAGGAGACTGAAACAGGCCTTGGGAGGATGGGGAGAGCTCTCAACATCACCTCATAGCTCGAGTAAATCTTGGGTGGGCATGATGCAAATTTTCCGAGAGTGGAGGCCTACACAGTGTCTCTCCCTTTCCCCTAATCCCAGCAGAACAATGCGTTGCTAATCAAAACAAGGTTCTCCACAAGTCCCAGTTTGCTAACAAGTGGTCCTGATATAAACAGACATAACGTGTTTAAACACAGTCCGCTATGCCCCTTCAGGGTACATTGTCCAAGTATTATTGTAAGCACTGGGATGATTTATCAGTTAAGAGGAGTTGGAGGGTGTCGCAGAAAGAGTCTTCAAACCCCTATGTTTTGCTCATGAAAATGAAGGACTGTTTTCTGCTTACGTTCAGGCTTAGCTGGGATTTCCACCCCAAACCCCTTTGTGTTTGGAGGTCGTTAGAAAGGAAGAGAAGGAACGTGGCCTGTGCTGGCTTTTGGGACTTTCTTCCTGAAGTGTGTAACTGTTGACTGCTTCAGGTTTTTCTTTGTTCTCAGAGGGGCAGAGGATAGTCTTAGCTCGAGTCCTGGGGAGGGGATCCTGGAACTCTGGGTGGGTAATGGATGGCGGCTGGCTGCGGTGTGGTACACTGGGAAGAAACTTAAGTCCTGCTCACCAGGGCCTCACAACGAGTCCCTGCAGTAACTGTGGGCGGCTGGCTGACTGAAGTGTCAGGTGACTTACAAGGGAGCAGAGACCGCAGAGTGTGACAGAAGACACACGCGCCATCTCCTTTGCGACCAGAGAGCAAGACTTTGTAGCCAAGATGAATCAATGAAATGGTGTGGTTTGGAGAATTCCGATGGTTTAGGGTGTAAGTTAAAGAAGCGAGCCTGGAGGGTCAAGCCCAAAGTTCTAAGCAAATGTTAAGCGGGAGTCCTTCTTAGGCCTGGGTGAGGGCTACGGTGCAAGAGGCCAAGTTCTTAGTAGTGAAAATAAGACTAGGAATATGGCCCATAGGGAAGCAAAGGGCTGTGAAATCAGAGCGGAGAATCATGGTGGTGTGCGAGACTCTTTGGTCCAGAAGGGACTGGAAGCCCTTCCAAAGCCAAATGATGAAGTTTTGTTAAAGAAAACTCTTAAGTCGAGGCAGAGCTGTGGGGAAGGAGAGAAGGTATGTGCAGAGGGACCACTGTGTCCAGTTTGACATCTTCCACCGGCCTCTGCGGAGCCTGCCTCTAGCATGAGGCTCTGGGTGTTGTTGTTCTGTGCTGAAGGGAGCAGCCTGTGGAGCTGAGGCTGCTCTGGCCAGGTTGAGGCAGGATTGGAGCAGTGCTAAGACCTCTGCTTGCTCTGTACTTTCTGGCAGTCTGGTTACTCCCCAAACCCCACCATTGCCATTAGCTCCTCTTTGTTCGGTCTTAGCATATAGTACATACTAACCAAGAACCCGACGTTACACAAAGGCGTACGGCATTTTCTGTGCTTATTGTGCTGAATCAGGCTTTTATGGGCATGCGCTCTTTTTAATATGTGATTTAAAGTTCTGTTTCTTTCATTACAGGCTTCGTTCTTGTCATCGATTGGAGACAACAAACATCAAAATTGCAGCCCTTTCACCTGGTGATCATGAAGTAACAGTAAATTACCTGAATGGCTTCCAAAGTAATTTCACCCTGAATGAAAAAGATGTTTGTAAGTATTTAAAAGAAATTTTTGCTTTATTCATTGTTAACCTTGGCAGTTGCTTTTTGTTTTCGAGATAAGAACTTGCCATGTAGCTCAGGCTGGCCTTGAGCTTGTGATTTCCAGCCTTAGGTTCAGAGGCTTCAGATTAGAGGTGTGCATCTCCAAGGCGCTTGGAAGCTAATTGTGAATGGAGCGAAATCACCGTTAGAACCGTGGTGCTGGGGAACTGGCACGAACCTATGATTATTTGAATTTCATTTATGTTGCCGCTTTCATTCACTTAGCGTCCTTGCTGAGGAAGGAGGCAAATGTGTCCTCCAGTCAAAGTAGATGAAGCTGAGGTTCCTCCCGTCACGTGGTTACTAGCCTAGTGCCCTTCGCCTCCATTCCTGCCTGTGTCCCGGCATTTCTCAGGTGTGCTTTGTTCTCGGACTGTAGCCTGACTGCCCCAGAGGTGACCCCTTCCCACTGTTCACTCACACTTGGGCATGCCGCGGTTCCTTGTGGCAATTTCCCTCAATTGAATTCACGGTCCAGTGTGTAGTTAGATGTTTACCTTGTGTCTTCTCCACAGGAAGTGTGTTCTTTGAAGGCAGGGACTTTGTGTTCTGCCCTGTGCACAGGCATTTGGCCAGAGTCTCCTAAGTGAACATCTAGGACCTTGGCCACCAGTCTACAGGAAGGACAGAGGCAATCCAGGGAGACAGAGATGGAACTTGACGTTCATGGGTGTCTCACATGGTGGCTAAGAGGTTTGTTAGTGTGTGACCCGTGATAGAGTGGCGTCATAATAACGTGATGAACCTTATAAGGTTACTGACTTAGAGGCAAGGGAAAGAAAAGGAAGTTAACTTTGATTTGTCCAGTTCCATGGAGTGGTTTTGTCTTGGGGAAGATCTATGTCAGCCTAGGTGTTTGAAAGAATAATAACGAAGAGACTGTCCAGACACAGTCTTTCCTGATGGCTGGATGAAGGAGGTAAAGCACTGGCCATGCAGACCTGACAATTTGAGCTCAGTCTCCTGAGCCCATCATGGTGGGAGGAGGGATTAGATTCCACAAGCTGTCTCCTGACCTGCACACGCGTGCTGATCTCTGTGTGTGTGTGTGTGTGTGTGTGTGTGTGTGTGTGTGTGTGTGTGGAGGGGGGGCGTGGTTGGGTGGGTGTGGTCTCTAGCTGGGTCATTTTGTCAATTTAAATTCCTTTCTGTATGGATCTTTCTGAGTTTTTGAGCACAAGTTAAAATTGCCCTCAGATGTCTGTTTTAGTTCAAAAGACAGGCAGATTGCAGCCCATGGGGCCCCTGGGCAGCTCGCTCTGCTATTATGCAGAGAAGGGAAGTTACAGTGGGTTTTTGTCTCTTAAATCCTTTCATTTGTAATCACGGCCTTCACCATCTCTCAGTGGAAACAGGGATGGTGACCTGTGTTTTGCAGTCACCCAACTGCTAAAGAGTAAATTACATGGGTTTCTGAAGAAAGGAAGGATCCTTTCTTTCTTTCTTTCTTCTTTCTTTTTTTCTTTCTCTCTTTCTTTTTTCCTCCTTTCTTTTTGCTATATATATTTTAATGTTTTATTTAAAAATACTTTTTTATACAATGTATTTTGGTCATCTTTCCTCTTCCCCAAGTTCTTCCAGATTCCTACCTCCCTACTCATCCTAATTCATGCTTCTTTGTTCTCTGTCTGTCTGTCTGCATGTCTGTCTCAAGCAAAAATCAAACAAATAGAAGAAAAAAGAAATCAAGACAAAAAACCCTAAAGACACAGAGGCCACTCTATTTCAGACAACCATTCCTGGACCTGGAGCCTACTCTGGGATGTGGTTGATGTACCCAGGGCCACCTCCTTCCCATTCAGTATCAATTGCAAATAGCTTCTGGATTAGGAGTGGGGCTTGGTGTTCTCTTCCCCTGCCACCTGGGCTTCTGTCTGGTTTGAACCTGGGCAGATCTCTTGCGTGCTGTTCACAGTGTCTTTGCGTTCATACATGCTGCAATTCGGTCGTGTCTGGAAGATGGTGTTTTCCTCAAGTCAGCCCGCCACCTCTTCTTACAGTCTTTCTCCCTCTTCTTTTGCATAGATCCCTGATCCTTGTGGGGAGGGCTTTGATAAAGACATCCCATTTAGAATTGAGTGCTCCAAAGTCTCTCACTCTCTGAACGTTGTCCAATTGTGCGTTTCTATGTTAATTACTGTCATGGCAAGAAGAAGCTTTTCTGATGAATATCAAGCAATGCGCTGATCTATGGGTATAGCATTGACATTGTATTGCTGTGATCCTTAGTAGAACAATAGTAGTAGGTTTTGCCCTAGGGCCTATGACCTGGCTAGTCTCAGGTTCTTTGCCTGCCAGTTTAGAGTGCCCTGTATGGGCTCCATCTCATGGAATAGGCCTTAAAATTCCAATCAAAATGTGCTTGGTTATTCCAATAACATTTGTGCCACTGTTGTGCCAGCATGTCTTGCAGGTAGCTTGCTGTTATAGGTCACAGGCCTTGTATTTGGAAATTTATGGTTACTTTTCTCCTCCAGTAGTATGCAAAACTATCTTCTGGTACCATAAATACTTCAGTGGTGGTGATGCTTCTAGCTGGGTACAGCTCAGTTTCCCCATGCTCAATGACCTAAAGAGGTTGTGTCTTCAGTGATAGGGCCTTACCGTCTGGTTATGGAGAGTAGCCAGTAGTGTTGACAATAGTCTGTGATGTTTGGGGTGGTGGTGTGGGATTTCTTTGACCAATGACTCAATAAGATATAACCCATTTCTGGCATCGGAGGTTTTACTTGTTGACCCAATGTGTCTAGTTAGGACATTCTCTCTCTCCCACTAAATAGTGACTCCATTTAAATTCTGTTCATATATGTATATATTTTAGGAAGCGTCTACAGGAGTAGGTTTCAAAAGGCTCTTAGTGTTAGTTGTAGGAAAGAAACATCTTTCATGGGTTAGCATGGCTACATTTCAGGGTGCCCATTTCATCGTGTTTAAGTTACTACACTATGGTGTTTTCAGTCACCCTCGGTTGCTGCTAGCTCAGTCCTGGTATTGCTGGCACCTGGATCAGCCCTCTCTTGGCACCAGATCCACTTCGTGCTTCTCATTACCCAAGTGCTTGCTTTCTCATGCAGCTTCCACTTCCAGGCTCTCCGTGGAGCGTGCTCCGTGCCCCTGTATAGCTGACATGCAGCTGACTTTGTTATATAGCGCAGACTTTAAATCCACGCTTTCCAGATCACTTGCAGCTCCAAATATTAAGTCTGGTGTAAAACACAGTGTTCAGCAAATTTTAGTAAAATCAAAGTTTCTAAACTTAACTTTAGGTTCCAAGACTGACATTGAATAATGGTTTATTCTGCCATTTTCCTGTATTTGACAGCCAGCCAGCTTACCCTGAACATTTATTTACTCCTGTGGTTTCTCACTTACCATAACTTCTTTTAGGGGCCCTTGAGTTTCACCGGAAATGACTAGAAGTGAGAAAAGAAAGGTCTCGTCCTGGACTTTCTCTAACTTATCCTCGCGTGCCTAACATTTGAGGAAGAAGCTTGCAAGAACATCTGTAGCTCCGCTTCTGCCACTGGCGAGCCTATGCTTCACAGATAAAGCCACACATGTCTCTCATTTCTCACTGATCTGAGGCTTTTGGTCATGCCCCTTGGGTAGGGAGTTTTGGAGACATACACGTTACTCTTCCTGCTACCTCCTTCCAGTACACAGCTTCCCTCCACAAGTGCCCGAGTTCTTGAGCAGCCTTTATCGCTGACTTTCCATAGTTCAGTTTCAGAGGCCCAGCCTTCCCAAGCTTCCTGCAGAAAGCCCCACAAACCCTTCCTTCTCTGGGTTGCCTTGGCCGTGGTGCTTTAACACAGCAATCGAAAGCAACTGATACAAAAGAACCATCCCCTGGCCCCTGACATCCTTTGTCCCTAAGCTCTGTCTTATGTGGACTATTTGACACCTGCCCCTTCTCAGCCCAGTGGTCCTGCATTTTGTCTCTTTTCCTTCGACTTTGAGCTCTGTCCTATGGATGCTTGCTGTTGTGACCAGCCCCTTGAAGGTGTGTTTGTGTGTCGCACGCAGCCATTATAGCTGTGTCCACAATCCTTTTTCAGCCCCATGGCACAAGCTCCTCTGGGCTCCACACGTTGATTCAGCTGGCTGTTCTCACAGGGCAGGCTGCAGAGTACTCTCCCCATCTCTCTCTTCCTAGCGCTGGTATTCGGAGCCAGCAGCTGGCGTCTTCCCATGGCTTCTCGTGCCGTTTCCTCTCTGCTGCTTCCTGGGAGCTTGTGGGGGCCCTTGGGAGAAATCTTGATTATTTCTTTCTCCTCCTGGTGAATCCTTCATTCCTCTGATCCAATCATTTCTTCAGAGCAGAGTGTCTTTTTCCCCTGTTTGACCTCTTAACCCTTTTAGCCTCTTGCGCTAGCCAAGATTTCTCCAGCCCTGCCCCAGCTGACTGGCTTGTGTCTGTCTCAGGCCCCCCGGACTCCGTGCTGGACGCGGACTCCGCGCTCTGTGCTGGACGCTGCCCCATCTCTACCATCCTCCTTCACAGTCAGCCTTTGGCTTCTGCACTCAGTGCCCAAATCACCTGAATAGTCTCTGTCGTTTGATGACACTCACAGCTTGGAGCAGCTCTTAGTTCTTTAAATGGGTAGTGGCCCCGAGTGAGGGGCTTGGCTGCTGGGGGACAAGTGAGAAGCTGCAGGAGCACAGAGGCCTTTTCCCAGCTGGCCTTTGTTTGCTTGCCTGTTTTTAAAGGTTCAGCCTGCTGACTCCCCAAGCAGCCCTTTCACCGCTTCCTCGCAGGTCCCCGACCAGGTGATGCTAGAGCATTGTGGGAACCCTGCAGCTCTCTGTAGTAGGAAATGTGTCCTATGTTGTGACATATGTCTTTGAAGCAAGCAGCTGACGGTTTTCTCGAGTTTGTCCCTTTAATCACTGGGAGCTGGCTGTACAAATAAAAACCTGCCCCCCCCCCCTCCGGTTTAGCAGTTAGTGAGAAATTGAAGTACAGTGTGAAAAATATAGTGCTTATTTGACTAAAAGTTGTCGCTTTTCTTTCCTATTTTAAGCTTTCATTCCAGATGCTCCCGAGGTTTTGAGTTTGTCTGCTGACTTCGCGACCTCCACGTTACACCTGAAGTGGACCGACAAAGGCTCTGCCTTTCCGTACCCCTTGAAGGCCACCTGGGAAATTAAGGTTCTACAGCATCCGCGTATGGAACCCATAAAATTAGTAAGTTGGGGCAAAAATCCATTTCCCTATGATGCTCAAGAAACCACACAGCCTTTAAAGGTTTCAAAGTGGCATCCACATTAACGGGATGGCGGGATGGTTTGGGGGTAAAAGTGTGAGCCGCACAAATCCAACTGCCTGAATCTGGTCCCAGAACCTATGGTGGAAGGAGAGAACCGAGCTCTGGAAGTTGTCCTTTGACCTCCACATGTACACCATGTACACCGTGGCAAGTGCATGGCCACGCTTACATGTACACACAGATCACAACAACGGCAACAAAAACCATAAAAATAATGTTTTAAAAAAATCACTTCTGTAATAGAAAGTTGAGAAATTAAGGGAGAACTATTTCCCAATTCTACCTCTTGGATCCAGTAAATGCCCAGCCTTTTAAATGCACATGTCCTTGCATAAATGAAATAAAAGCTTTTTTCAGTTTATTTTACTCAATCTGTTATTTTATCTTTGTCTATTATTATGCACAAAATAAATATTTAAAACATTTAACCGTAATAAGAATAAAATGATAATTGAGAAATTAGTAAGCTTCAGGTTACCAGCCTGAAATACCATTATATACACTACTTTTTCTTTCTCCCCCGACTCAATATTTCAGTGGTTTTGTATGACTTACACTTACTTTATTCTTATTCTAAGACAGAGGAACAGGTGTGATAAGTCGGCCAGGTGTCACGCGGATGCTAGGGCAGGAGGAATGCTAGGCAGTAGTGTTTCAGTTAAGGCGCATGCTGTGCGCAGCCCCAGAAGATGTCCCACACGCCTGAGGATGGGTAGAAGAAGGCCCCAGCTGTCCATACAGCCTACCCTCCCATTTCCCACTTGTCTCTCCTAGGGAACAGGCCTGCCTGTATTTGTGTATTGAGACAGGGCTTTGCTGTAGCTTGCAGTACGCTTTCCTCTGTCTTCCTAGTTCTAGGATTACATCTGCGTTGTTTCACTCTGTTAGCCGATTCTTTCCATTAATTAGCTCCATCTTTGCAAATAACGTGCGTACACAGCTATTTCTTTATGGTTTCCAGCAGTGGTTTTCGACTGCCCCAGTGGAGGATGAGAGCCCTTTCTGCTTTGTCTTTCTGCTCCCCTCCTTTCTCGTGCGTTTATAGCTTTGTCTGCATTGCTGAGCACTGAGGGGCTCACTACAGTCTCGGTCTTGTCTGTTTCCCTAGGAACTTGTTTTATTTCTTTGGTTTCCCATTCTAGTTTTTTCCTTTTTTCTTGGAATCTTTCTTCTTGAGAAAATGGATCTTCAGAGTAGTCTTCTGGTTGCCTTATTTTTCCTATTTCTCACCTGCCTTTTGGTCTCGTGTGTGTGTGTGTGTTTGTGTGTGTGTGTGTGCATGTATGTGTGTGGTCCCTCTCTTTGGCTTTGCTTCTTCAAGATACAGGTTCTCCTCTATGAAAATATGGAAATCATTTCTATAGCAACATATTTCCTAAGTTGCTTTATTGAAGGCCTTGATGAGTCTCAACACCTGTATGGTAATTCAGTAGGACCTAATGTCGATAAGGGAACATAATTGAGTAATGTTTGTGTTGGCCTAACTTTCTTGTTAATACTTTATAATAGTGGTTCTCAACCCGTGGGTCGTGACCCCTTTGCTATCACGGGGATCACACACCAGATATCCTGCTTATCATATATTTACATTGCAATTCACTGCAGTTGCCAATTTTAATTATAAAGTAGCCATAAGAATAATTTTATGGCGAGGGTTACCACAACATGAGGAACTGTATTAAAGGGTCACAGCATTAGGAAGGTTGAGAACCCACTGTTCTATAGAAAACAAGCCACTTTACAAAAGTGCAGCCCCTTTGCCTTGATAAGATGGCTCTGTGGCAGACTGCGCATATTCTGTGGGGTTCTTCCTGGCTGTTTATCCTGGAGACACGCAGACCGGACCGCTATTTGGAAGCATAACTTTGTGTTTATTTTTAGGCGTCCTTCAACACGACACTGAACGGTAGAGACACAGTTCACCAGTGGAACTGGACCTCTGATCTGCCCCTGGAATGCGCTCCTCACTCTGTGGGGATCAGACGGTACATCAACCATCACCGTTTCTCCGGCTCTAAAAAGTGGAGTGCCTGGAGCCTCCTGAAGAACATTTCTTGTAAGCTTACTATTACAGACCCTTGTTCCTCGTGAGGTAGATTACTTAAGAGTAAGTGTTAGCGTTTGTTCTTGGTTTTCCGAATCCCAGCAGCTGTCTTCTTAAAGCTGCCACCCCAGACTGGGGATTAAACTCTGAAGCGGGCTGCAGAAAAGCCGCGCTGAAAACCCTTTGTCAGTTAGACAGACCCCTTCCAACAGGTGGACGAACAGAGCTGGCAGGGCGAGTCGGGGCCGGGGCCGTCAGTGACCATAAATGAGGTCTAGAAAATGTTTGGTGTTCGCTGCTGCAGGTGGACACTCCATGGAGCAACATCAGATAAGGAAGGAGCGGAAGCAGCTGGGTAAATAAGGAGACTCTGTGGCAGTTGAGCAAGAGACTGTAAATATAACTCAGGACAGTTAAGTTCAGAAGTAAGGGAGACGGGATGCGAGAAGCAGAATCTGATTTGGGGAGTGGGTGCCAACAGCGTCTGTTACCTTGGATACCTGGAGGGACTGTTGGCACAGAAGCAAACCCTCAGGACCAGTTGGCTGGGAAAGTGCAGTCTCACCGAGTGGTGAGGTGGGAATGCCGGTCTGGCACCCAGAGACACGGGTGGCGCTGTAGACGCCCCTTCGGGGATCGCAGATGTGTATATGATCTGAAGTGCTTACGTGCTGAAGGCCAAGATTACACTTAGGAGCTCTCCTGTCTGCAGCAATACTGAAGGAAGACCTGTGGCCTAAGGGCTGCGAGTGGCCCAGAAAGTTCAGTGTGGTGGAACCCAAGAGACGAGGGAGTTTGGATGATAAATGAGGAGTGGTTCCTGGATCAAACACGGAGCCAGTGATCCACTTCCATAGATCAGTAGAGGTAGAAGCCAGGTGGCAGAGAAGAGTGGGGGGTAGAAAGGTGACCAGAGGCCATTGTATAAACATCAGCTGTTAGGTGTAGAGCTGGGGTCCCTAACCTTAACCTGCAGAGCTGTGATTAAAGAACCAGCTGCTAGTTAGGCTGTGGGGTGCTTCCCACCTGTTGGCGCATGAGATGCAAATCCGCTCCAAAAACACAGATTAGTTTCCAAGAAATAAACTTGCTAGGTGTTTTCTTTGTGCATATAACATTAACCTATGACCACTGACATTGACCTGTGACCTGTTTCTGTCCCTGGATAAGTAAATAAGGCCACGGTTTCAATTCTTGCCTGTGTCTTACTTCTTTGAAACCCGAGAGACCTGCATTATCTCAGATCTTCATGTATTTCACAGTATGTGTTGTGGATACTGAACTAGTTTAAGCTCATCTTTTTTTTTTTATTTATTATGTATACAACATTCTGCCTCCATGTATGCCCGCACGCCAGAGGAGGGCGCCAGATCTCATTACAGATGGCTGTGAGCCATCATGTGATTGCTGGGAATTGAACTCAGGACCTCTGGAAGAGCAGCCAGTGCTCTTAACCTCTGAGCCATCTCTCCAGCCCAGTTTAAGCTCATTTTAAGAGTCAAGTGTGGTGGCATTCAGCAGAGACAGGAGGATTGCTGCAATCTTTGGGTCAGCCTTGGCTTCCTGGTGAATTCCAAGCCAATGTGGGCTACAGAATAATACCTTGTTTCAAAATAATAAAAAATAAGGGGCTCTGTTGGTAAAGTGCCTGCCACTCAAGCGGTTCTGTGACCCCAAGCCCCCGTACCTACCTTAAAGCTGGGCATGGTGACATTTGCAGCCCTGGCTCTCCAAGGGTGGGTGTTGGCAGATCGCTGGAGCTTTTTCTTCTGTCTAGCGTAGCTGGTCAGTAAGGTCCAGGTTCAGTGAGAGCCCCATCTCAGAAACTAAAGTGGAGAAACATTGAGAAAGATGCCCTATGTCAGCTCATAGTCTCCATGTATGCAAACTCCTGCATACCATGTGTTTGTCTGCATACATAGACAGATCACATTCATATAAAAATAAATAGAGACAAAAATAAGTAAGTAAATAAGTAAATGAAAATAAAAATAATCTTAGGAGGTGATGTCCTAAGGAGATGGTTTTGTTTAAAAGACGTCTGACATGTTTGCGATTCCTCTTGTTTCTTTCTAGGGACTCCTGATTCCGAGACCAATGTTTTTCCTCAAGACAAAGTGATTCTTGCAGGCTCAGACATAACATTTTGTTGTGTCAGTCCAACAAAAGTGCTGTCAGGACAGATTGGCAAGACATTCTGTCCCCTTATCCATCTTTATGGGGAAAACGTTGCGATCCGTATCCAGAACATTTCCGTTTCTGAAAACAGTGGAACAAATGTGGTTTTCACAACAGAAGATAATGTGTATGGGACGGTTGTCTTTGCAGGCTGTAAGTATATCGTGCTACCTCGCTCCTCTTAGCCTGTGTTGCTCCCTTTCCAGCCTTGATTTCTTTTCTGCTGGCTGGTTCTGTTTCTTCCTTATTTCCTTGTCATTATCGCAGATACTGTACAGAGGCTCTAGAACGCTTGGATGGGAGCCTGGAACTCATTCCCTGCATTACCTATTCCGCTGTCAGTTCTGAGTCTCACAGTAAGGTTAAGACATCTAGCAGCTAAAGTTTAGTTTAAATTCCTAAACGTCATAGTTGATTCAAAGTCCTTAGTATATGTAGTATTTCTTTTTTTTTTTTAAACAGGAATGTGTTCCTTAGAGAACCACTCTTCTATCTATTTATTTATTTCTTTATTTCTTATGTATACAATATTGTGTCTGCATGTATGCCGGCAGGCCAGAAGAGGGCACCAGACCTAATTACAGATGATTGTGAGCCACCATGTGGTTGCTGGGTATTGAACTCAGGACCTTTGGAAGAGCAGGCAATGCCCTTAACTGCTGAGCCATCTCTCCAGCTCCCTATGTAGTATTTCTTAATTGCACCTAATAATTTCATACATATTAATTTCCCACATAACTAATGTAAAGTACCCATGTTTAAATGTTATGGTGATTTTAATAGCACACTGTATCTTTCCCAGCATTTAAAGTAGCATAGTTGCCTGGCAGCAGTGGCTCATGTCTTTAATCCCAGCACTCGGGAGGCAGGCGGATCTTTGTGAGTTCGAGGCCAGCCTGGACAATAGTTCCAAGACAGGCTCCAAAGCTACAGAGAAACCTTGCCTTGAGAAAATAAATAAATAAATAAATTAGTGTATTGAGGGCAGCAATACGATAAAGGCTGAGAAGTCTTATTCTTCATGTAGTCTGCCTATAGCATGGGTGTTCTTGCTCGGGGAGACCTCTGTTATAGCGTGGGTGCCCTTGCTCGGGGAGACCTCTGTTAAGGCGATTGACGGCTCCCGCAGCCTAAAATGTGCCTCCATGTTGCGGTGGCCGGCAGCCCTGCCATGCAGCTTCTGTGGCATGACCTCAGATAATTATGTGCTTGGGACTTTTAGTTTTGATGTTGAACTTTCTATTTCCTCCAACATGGTGGGCACCGCCTGTGGCCACGATGCCCTTGTTTTCGCTACTGTGAGTTTGTAAGTTCTGAGTTTTGTCTCTGGGTCTCATGATTAAAGGTGTGTTGAGACAGTTTGAGTGGATTTTGTGTTTCTTTAGTCTGTTCTAGGGATTTCTCTGTCAGTGAACTATTCTAGCAATACAGGCTCTCGGATATCTTGCATTTATTCCTTGCTACTTGGTGTTTTCTTATGTTAATTTGTTTTTTAGAGAATTGTCTCATTCTGTATCCCTAGTTGGCTTGGAATTCCTAGGTAGTCCAGGCTGGCCTCAAACTCACAGAGATCCACTAGAGGGTAGGATTAAAGGTGTGTCCCACCGTGGCCCCACTTAATAATATTTTCAAAATTGTATTTTATATTTGATGGTGTATTAAAAACAGGGGATTTGTATTTAGATTTACCTAACTTCAATGTAATTCTTTTAAAAGTTAATTTGTTTGATAAGAAAATCAGTACATTTCAAAGATTGTCTTATTTTTCCCCTCCTGTCATACTCCTGTTTCTTTTTTATTTATTTTTATTATTTGGACTTTAAGTAGATTAATAAGCATACTTCACATCCTAAAATAATCATCACTATAAGTGTAGTCCAGATTTTCAGCATGTAATTTTAATAAAATGGTGGGTTAATTTAGGTTTAAAACAGTTTTCAAAATAAGCACACCATTGTTTATCTAATTGTCTAGTTCACTACTCAGCCTCAGTATTAGCTAAAATGTCATGGGAGGGAGCCTCTGAAATCTCAGCAAGCAAGGACACTCGTCTCACAGTCCTGGGACTTGACTGGGATCCCTGGTACCGTATAAAGATGGAAGGAGAGAGGCAGTTCCAGCCAGCTGTCCTCTGACTTCTATACATGCTCCATGGCACACATGCAATATTAATAAATAAAAATTGAAGCATTACTGGGATCTCTAGGAGGAGTATAGAAAAACCTGTATTTTGGTTGACAACTGGGTACCATTTGAAAAATTCACTTCCTTCAAAAACAAAATTACTTTTGCAGAGTATTTCAACAGGCAGATTAATGGTTTTTAACTTTCACAGAAAGTGAAAGTATTTATATAAATACAGCATTAGGATAGGCCAGTGTCTCTTTGAGTTTGGTTACCCATGATTATAGCGATCTGTTTCTATAATAAGGTGCCGGACCATGGCGATTTTAGATATTACTCTACGGCTTTTGCATCTTCCTCCAGACCTGACCTTTTTCTTTTTCCTCGGCCCCAAAGTAAAGGCAGAGCAGATAGTTTCTGTGAGCATCTGCCACGAATCTTACACATGTACAGAATTTTCTCAATCCCAGGTGATAGTGGTTCCAGACTGTAGGTTCTGGTGACTTAGCTGGGAAGACTTTGAGGTAGAGTCTAAGGAAAAAGAAATTTAGTTCATTTCTCACGTGGCTGCTGGGAATTTGCTGAGTTGCAAGTCACTCTCTAGAGTGTTTTAATCCCGTTTCTGATGCAGTGTAAGCTGTAACAACACATCTCGCAGAAGCACTGATAAGAAAATTGCAGCACCATCCAAGGAGGAAATGGATAAACAGCAAATGATTTGAAGAGAGTTATGCAAAATCTCACTTAACGGCCTATAAAACTGCGGTTTGGGGGAGAAGATACGGAGCTACTTTGTTCTCCTTTTCCTTCCAGATCCACCCGACGTTCCTCAGAAACTGAATTGTGAGACGCACGATTTCAAAGAGATTATCTGCAGCTGGAATCCGGGGAGGCCGACAGGGCTAGTGGGCCCACGAAATACAGACTACATTTTATCTGAAAGGTAATGGTCCCCGGGGAAGAGTGCTGGTGGCAGGAACCTCGCAAGAACCCGTTGAGTGACACGGGAGTCTGGCACATTGTCGCCATGCAAGCGAGCATGCTGCGTTGGGGTCATGTGACTGGACCGACTACAGCTGGCTCCTGTGTGGTTGCAGTACCGTGCCTCTTCTGTCTGAAGGCGAACAGAAGGGCCCCAGATAGTCTAGGCCGTGGCTTATCCCTGGTTATTTTCTGTATCACACACCGTTTTCTTGAGTTTGTGATTAGTCTAGAAATGAACATTTTATAAAAATTAGTCAAAATCTGCCCATGTTTTTCCCTCCACCATATTTACATCTTACTATCCTGAAATTATTTTTCTTCGTGACTGACAGCATTTCGGGAAAATCCGTCATACTGAAAAGATTTGAAACACTTACAAATGAAAGCTGTCGTTTAACCTTCCAAATGCTTCCCGACCAAGAAATCTATAACTTCACCCTGACCGGTCACAACCCACTGGGACGAGCAGAATCAGTAATATTTATCAACGTAACTGAAAGAGGTGAGCCGCTATTGCCAGCCAGGGTCTAAAATAACTACAATAAAAATAACACATGACAAGCCTTGGGACTCATGAAAGGTGACTATAGGGATGAGTGTTTATTGGTTATTTTCTTTAGCATTTTTTCAATTTTATAATTATTTATTTAATAATCTTAATTTAAAGCATTTAAATGAATAACTTTAAATTTGCTGATTATTTTGAATTGAAACAAAAATTTGAGTCATTTAGAGGGAAATTATACATAGCTTTGTCTACTCATTCTTGATTTCTGAACATTTTCTTGGACAGTTCTTAAGAACATTTACTTTAAAATATTTTTTTGATGCAGAAAGTTATTGTAAAAATAATGAATTACAACTCTGTGAACCCTCCTGTCTTTCCCCAGAGGTGACAACAAGAACAGGAAGGTGACCAGTGCATACCGTTCTCTAGGCCGCTAACCTAGATGATTCTTTTTGCTCAGTTTTGTGTGCGTTCACTAGAGAGTGTTCAGACATGCTGAAGTACTTCCATGAGGAGTTCCTTTGCATTGTGTGGGCAGTGTGGATCTCAGTGTGATGGTGGTTACCGGTGTCTTTACACAGACACACCCTCTCGCTCTGTCTCTCTTTTTGTCTCTCTGTCAGATTGCACCAGCTGTCTGTCCTTTATCCCCCATTTTGTCATTGTGAGTGTATTTTAAATAAAAACGCACCATGTATAACCATTTGATGCTGGCATTTCTTAGCATAATATCCCCAAGAGACATCCAAATTGTTTTTTAGTTACTAATTTCTTCCTATATCAATGATTTTTTTTTTTATTTTGGGGGACAATAATGATACACAGCTCAGAACAGAAATAAGATGTGTGTAGTCTTTTTGTGTTTGTCCCATTGTCAGCCCAAATGAACTATCCCCATGCCAGGCTCGTCTACATCCTGAGAGCTCATAGAGACTAGCAGAAGAAAGGGCTATGAACAAGAGCTGCATCGTTCTGAAGAGTGGATGGTAGAGGTCCCAGCGCCTCATTGCTACTTTTGTAGCATTTTCCCAAATGCCTGTTTATTTTGTATTGTTTATGGGGGAAGGTATATGCTGTGTGTGCCGCTTATGTGCAGGCACCTGCAGAGGCCAGAAGAGGGACTCAGATCCCCTGTAGCTGGAGTTATAGGCAGTTGTGAGCTGCCCATTGTGGGCAGCGATGTGGTGCTGGAAACAGAAATCAGGGCCTTGGGAAGAGTGTGAAGTGCTCTTAACCACAGAGCCATCTCCAGTCCCTGCTTTTTTTTTTTTAAATATTTATTTATTATGTATGCAATATTCTGTCTGTGTCTATGCCTGCAGGCCAGAAGAGGGCACCAGACCCCATTACAGATGGTTGTGAGCTGCCATGTGGTTGCTGAGAATTGAACTCAGGACCTTTGGTAGATCAGGCAATGCTTTTAACCTCTGAGCCATCTCTCCAGTCCCAAGTCCCTGCTTTTTTTTTTAATCTAGTGTTCCATCCTGTCATCATTATTTTCTGTTTCATCCTAGAGTTAAAAGGCTACATTTTGTAGCTGAAGGTATTACTTGCATTGGTCCGCCTTCGTTTTGTTGTTGGTGGTGGTGGTTTTGTTTGGTTTGGTTTTCCAGTTTCCCCTGTGTATGGTTCTTCCTTTGACCTCAGCGTTCACAGCCATTGTAAGACTCCCCCCCCATCCTGAACCACACTGAATTTCTGTGTCAGTTGCACCATCACCGCACACATACCTCGGACAGACGGCTGTCAGTACCTCTTGGTATTTGTCACCCTCTGTGGACACTACGAGCCTCTTAAACTTGGCTCTTCTACTGCCGAACGTTCCCAGCACCGGATGAACAACCTTGAGCGCAGTTGGTTCTCTGAGAGCACTGGTTGCATAGCAACAGTAAACATAAGGTCCCTGGGTCCCACAGACTGTGTTGGTTTTAGGCATTAATAGTACCCTTTCTGCTCTTCTTTCCCTACCACACACACTCACCCTTCGGTTCTAGTTTGTCTGACTATGGCAGACCTTTTCACCCTGAACGTTTACAGGTATTAATCTTTATAATCCTGTTTCCAGTTGCTCCTCATGTGCCTGTTTCGTTGAAAGTGAAGGACATCAATTCAACAGTTGTTACACTTTCCTGGCATTTGCCAGGAAATTTTGCGACGATTAATCTCTTGTGTCAAGTTGAAATTTGCAAAGCTAATTCAGAACAAGAAGTGGTAAGTAAGATTCACCTATAAACTTTTTCTTTTGGTTATTATGAATAAAATTATTCAAAAACAGCTAAGCAAACTGTATTGCAGGGAATCATAAACCAAGAAAGACTTTATATACAAATGTAATGGCAACATTGTAATTTGCACTTGAAACGATTATAAAACTGGACAGTAAAGAATAGAACTTCAACTTTAGCTGTTCAGAATTCCCTCAGGCTTAGTCTGTAATACTCGCGTGTAACTGGGTGATTAAGAATTAGCTTTGACTGTATGTAGCCTTTGACTGAGTGGCACAGGAGAGTAGAAGAGAATTTTAAATTATTAAGTGTATCAGTGGAAGCAAGTTTTAATTGGTAATTATAAGTCAGAAGAGGACTTTTTAATACATTGAAATAATTAGATTGACTTACACTGTACCCTTTTGTAATTTGTGGTAACTGTGAAATAAATGGTACAGTCGTTGAACATTACTTTGGAAATTCACTGGTTTCAATAAAAGCACTCAGAAGTACACAGCATGACCTGCAAAGCCACTTTGTAAAAGGCAGCTGAGAATTCAGGTATTTTCCTGGCACATTCATCCTCAAATTTGTGTAAAATTGCTTCACTTTAATGTTATTTTTTTTTTCATTTTTTGTCTTTTTCTAAATATTCAGGCCCTAGGTGACATAGACTCACGCATAAACTGTACCATTTGCTGCCAGGGTGATTTCCAGTATCCATGGAATAATGCCTTCATCCCCAAGCTCGTCTCTTATTGCCAAATTGTGTTGAAGTTAATGGTCACTAGCTATTAACTGTAACTCATTATCACAATAATAACTGTATAATTTAACTGACAATTATTATTTAGATTCAATAATTAAATTAAAAATGCATCCCCATTTTTTATTGGCTGCTGTGTGTTGGTTAGGTCCCAAGAAATTCCTTTCTGCAAAGACTGGCATTTAAGAAGATAGTTTCTGCTTGCTAAAAGAGAATCATTCTCTTTGTCTCTGGAGAAACGGACATATGGCTCCCCCATTAGCCTATGTCTGTGAAGCCTATTAGCATATCCAGGTCTATACTAGCCTCTGGGCTCACTCAGGCCTCACTCACAAGTGTCTGTTATTGAGTCACTCTGGTGGGCATACCCCACCCGCTACCCTAAGCTTCTCCAGGCCCTGAGCTTCCCCACCTTCTCTTACTCCTTATGACCCAGCCATAAGCTTCTCTTGTTCCTATGCAACCCAGCTGCTTTGGCTCCATGCTCTCAGAGCTCCTGTGTGATTTGTTTCCTCTCTTCTCTCTTTCTCTCTCATCTCCCAACCCCACGACTGGTCTATTCAGTCTGGCTGTGCTCCCCTCATATCTCCAACATAAAAACCTTCTCTTCAACCATACATAGGTCATGGCCTCATTTTCATTCACTATGGAACATAATTCTATTCATGTAGTAGTTCGTGAGAATTAAAACACTCTGAACTCTGTTCTAACTGCAAGCTGGTGTGACGTTCAGTTGGTTTATATCACAAGTGTAGACTGATTGCATAGCAAAAGTATAATGCATATGGACATATTATATATCCACACACGCATGGTATATACATATTAGCACCCAAATATATTTACTTCTTTTCAAATAGCGGAGTGCCACAATCAAAGGAGCCGAGGATTCAAGTTACCTTTTGGCTGTGGACAGATTAAATCCATACACTGTGTACACTTTTCGGGTTCGTTGTTCTACTGAGACCTTCTGGAAGTGGAGCAAGTGGAGCAATGGAAAGAGACATTTGACCTCAGAAGCCAGTAAGTTACGCGATGGTGCGGCTGATCACTAACGGGGAGCAGGGAGGATACAAGATGAGAGACAGCCGGCGGCAGTCACGTGACTATGAGGATGCTTTCATCCCATTCTCTGAGCCCTTGTGTTCTGTAGAAGTTGAGAGCTTAGCTTCATCTAGTGCTTCTCGGTTGCTTTGCTCTAGAAACGGAAGCCATGTTTTATGGATAATTCTAGATACCCTAGAGTGAAGTCCAAGCACCCCGTTTTAGTCGCTGATACTGTCCACTGCCTTGCAGTCTGTGTCCTCAAATTCTGATGCGAAAATCTCTTTCTTAGCTCCTTTAAGGGGACCAGATACTTGGAGAGAGTGGAGCTCCGACGGAAAAAACTTAATTATTTATTGGAAGGTAAATATTTATGGTTTCCTTGGATGCTTAATTTTTTTTATTTAAATGCTTAATGTACAAATGGTAACTCGGTTTTTGTGCATACTTTCAATTGTACTTGCTTACGTCGTATTCAGCTGTACTGGTAAATGGTCCATGAAATACAAAGTCACGGGAATCTATACAAGGAGCCCAGGCTTCCCAGACTAGTTAAGTTTGCCGTCTTCCAAGCCTGTGTTTCCCATCTCTCCTGATTCCCCAGGCGTTGAGAGGGTCTCTTGCCTCAGTCTCGAGCCCATAGTTGTGAGGCCCATAACACCACACATGTGGAGAGCTCATAGGAAAACTTGTGGGGGATTCTTTCTCCTACTGTGTGGGTCCTAGGGATTAAGCTTAGATCTTCAGGCAGGGCGGCAGTCACCCTTAGCTGCTAAGCCTTTCCTTCGATTTTTGTATTTTTTCTAGTGATTTTGTAGCGGTCATGTAGTGTATAAAAGGAGGAAAGAATACATGTGCTAGAACACCATGCCAGGCTGCTGTGTTTCCATCAGTGCCTCAGTCCTTCGGGCCACGTCTTACATTTTTGCTTCTGGAAATTATAAAAATGGAACAGTTTTATATTAATGTTTACATTTCTGTGGATTTTTGGTACTTAAGAAGTGTGGTTCTTTTTTACCTTTTCATGCCTTAAAAAAAAAAAAAAAACAACAACATGGCCTCAGTGGATTTTAAAATTTGAGTTTCGCACTCCTAATAGCTTCATAGTCTATTTTCACTTTTTATTGGGAACTTAGCCCAGTTTAGGCCTGATGACCTTGCCCAAGCCTTGTACCCTTTTGCAAGCTCTAATGAGAGAATTTGTCCTTCCGTTTGTTGTAGCCCTTGCCCATTAGTGAAGCTAATGGAAAGATTCTTTCCTATAATGTATCGTGCTCATCAAATGAGGAGACCCAGTCCCTTTCTGAGATCCTCGATCCTCAACACAGAGCAGAGATGCAGCTGGATAAAAACAACTACATCATCAGTGTGGTGGCAAAGAATTCTGCTGGCCCATCGCCACCTTCTAAAATAGCCAGTATGGAAATCCCGAACGGTGAGTGCTCGGGAGAACGTACAGGAGCGGATGGAAGTAGAAGCCGTGGGTGCTGCCAGCTCCCCTCATGAGCCTGCTCCTCCCATACGACTGCATGTCTATGCACACGGAGGACCAAGTACAGGAATGTCCGCTGCTGCTCACTGAGGGATGCCGTTGGTAGTATTTTCTTGTTTTGTTTTGAGACAAGATTTTGCTATGTGGTTCAGGCTAGCTTCGAACACACTAGGTAACCAGGCCAGACTTGAGTCTCCTGCCTCAGCCTCCTGGGTATGCTCAGTATTGACTGGAAGCCTGTAAACGTGTGAAAGATAATAATTACTGTATCTAGTTAACTTGTCACAGAGTATGAAGAGTTCTGGTCATGGGCAGCAATCTTGGGAGGAAATTTGACTGTTTGGTCAAAGACCTTTTAAAAAAATCTCTTTCCCAGTCTAAGGGTTTCTGTTATCCGTCTGTTTTTGCAGCCCATTGTGCAGAAAAAGACACTTGTTTTAATTGGCAGCTTTGTGGCCATTGATAATTTTTTTTCCCCTTGAGTGTGTTTTTTTGTGGTCATTGTTTATAATTTTCTTTATAGCTAAGGGAACTTGCTTTGAAGCAAAAGGTGACCTTGAACTCCTGATTGTCCAGCTCCAGACCCAACATAGAAATTCTACATATTGATAAGAAAGCTTCATTAATAAGGGTTTTGAAAACCAAAAAATCCACCTGATGTAATTTTAAAATGTCAGTGTTTGCCTCTAAATTGCCACAGATTGCCAGCGACTCGCCACGATCCCTCTCGGTTTTCACATGCCCTTTTTATATATACTAAGAGCACAAAGCAGTGTGCTCGAACTTGCTATTTCCACACATCCATACATAATTTACTTGAACCATCTTTACCTCTGGTGCCCTTCACTAATTCCCCACCCCCACCACCTGCTAGCCTTTCCTCTTCCCCCAAAGCTAGACGGCTTTCTGAGTCATGAGTTTTAAATGGCCACTTCCACCTCTTCTTCCAGTTACTTCCTGAGTTCATTTGCTGTCCTTCCCCAGTATGGGAACAGCTTTTTATGAGCCCACTCTTAACAGAAAGAAAAACAGTCTGGTTGGGTTTCCCCCGCGTGTCTCTCAGCGCTGGCTTGTGGTGGTTTCTTGGCACTGGCCTAGTTCATTGACTTGTCCTAGGCAGTGATCACGAGAATTATGAAGCAGGAATGTATAGTAGGGTTGTTTCAAAGACTTGGCCACACCCAGGCCACAGCACAGCCCTAAACCTAGGCAGCGGAGGGTGGGGCAGATGGCGCGGCACGGGCAGGAGCAGGGCTCAGAGCAAGGCGACCAGTGATCCCTCACTTGGACTTGGGCATTTTAAAGACGGCAGTTGTATCTCTTTAATTACTGTGTTATCTCTAACTGGGGCTTTCTGACCCTACCTATTCTGTGTGTCCTTGAGAAGGTGGTTTCAGATCTAACTGTGTCACAGCTCTGATATCAGCAGCCCGCAGTTCTCACTCCCAGAGTCAGAGGCTACACAGCCCGAAAGCTCAATGTAGGCACATTGAGCCCGAAAGCAGTCTGACGTCCAGACCCTCTCTCTGTTTGGGAGTAACTGCTTTATGAGTGCAAATTTATTTGGAAATCTTTTCTATATATGTTTTTTTGTTGTTGTTGTTGTTGTTTGTTTGTTTTGTTCTTTAACCAAACCCTTACATATAAATGAGTTGGAGAGGTCATTCTCTTTTTGTGTCCCTGGGAGAATCCATTCCCCTATCTTGACCCTAACTGTGCTGTCCTCTACTCTGGTCCCTCACACCTCACCCCCTCCTCACTTATCCCTTAGGCCCAGGTCTAGCAGAAAGTAAAGTAATTCTCCCACAGCCACAGATCTACCCTTGCTCCCCAGTGTGTGCACACACACACCCCCCCACACCCCAGCATCACATGGTCTCTGGGAATGCCTCTGCCCACACTAGTCATCCCACCTCAAACTCTGATGCTTCAGCCGCTCTCCACCCTCTGCACCGCCCCTAGATGGTTCCCTCAGCCCCACGTTTGGGTTGGGGTGCATGAGTCCTGGAAAGCAGATGGCCAGCTCTTCATTTCCGGGTGCGCCGTCTGCCTCCTCTGTGCGGCTCCTTTTCCCATAGAGCTCTGCTCACTGTGGACGGTGAGAGCAAGGGTTAATTGTCCCCTGGCCCTTCCCCAGCCTCCTGCCTCCTTCTCTCACCCCACATGGTCATGCTGTGGTCCTCCTCCCGGTGCCAGCCTAGCCCCCAGTATATGTCTACCTGATTATAGAAGCTTTTCAGTTTCTCTCCTCAACTTCTGTGTCATTAATTTTCTGGATAAAGGTAAATGCTATAGTTATTCCAATAAGGTTAATACTACAATTCTTCTTTGCTAAATAGTAATATCTAGTTCAGCTACTATTTTAGAATTATCTACAGTGAAATAATTTTTATAACTACTGTCCATTTTCTTAAGACTTGCCCTCTGGTATTTCTCTGACTGCCGATAAAATGTCTTTCTTACCTTGCTGAAGATGACATCATAGTAGAACAAGCTGTTGGAATGGGAAAGAGGATCTTCCTCACCTGGCATCCTGACCCCAACATGACCTGTGACTACGTCATTAAATGGTGCAACTCGTCTCGTTCTGAGCCCTGCCTCATGGACTGGATAAAGGTTCCTTCAAACAGCACCAAGGCTGTAATAGAATCTGGTAAGAAGAATTCGTGCCTCTCCCAGGCCTTTGGGGGAGGGGAGGTTGAAAAGCCACACAGCTGGCATGGCCTCATTTATCCGAATTCAGTGTGGCTTGTGGCGTGTCTCTGGGAAAGACTAACCTGTGGAGGTGGGTTTTCCTTGTCCAGGGATTCACTCAGAGAGGTCATCAAAGAGGAGTATATATCTGCATTTGGGTAATGGTTTTTATGTTTTGAGGTAGGGCCTCAAATTCGGAGATTCACCACACCTGGCTCCGAAAGTGCTCTTGATAGCATTGTTTGTAATCTGAAAATTATAGCTAAATAGCAGACAAGGGAATAAATGGCCGTGTGTTGATAAAATAGACGTTAGTAGGAAGAACAGTTAGGTCAAGTATGAAGCAGCACAAGAAAACACTACCAAAGAAAGGAGACGACATAGTCAGTTCTCTTTTGCCTTATATTGTCTAGGATCCAGGTCACTGCGGCCTTGCTGCCACAATCAACCCTTCCCTAATATGATAGGTACAGCCTGAGAAGTGTGGCACCCTCGGAGGCTTGGACCCCACAGGCTAACCCCACTCTCCTTTGGAAGCAGAGGCCTCCCTCCTTGGTACTGTCGTGCCTTCTGCTGAACCAGTGTGTGCCTACGCCTGTGGGGTTCTCTTGGGCCAGGATTGGGTCTGTAAGTCATGATCCTTCTTGAGACATCAGCTCCTGGTCCTTCCTCATGTGTTGGGGAAGCAAGCCGGAGAGTGAGGGGCCCCCAGTTGCTTCTTTCCCTAAGACAGGTTCTTCTTGTTTACTGTTTGGAAACTCTGTCAAAGGGTGGGGATTCCCTCACTGATTAACCACATGTGAGTTCAGATATTTTCCCTTCTGCTTGGGCGCTTCTGCAGTTGACTGAAGTCATGGTTGTCTTTCGAGGTGCTTCCTTTCTCCTCTGGCCGCCCTCCGTTCTTCCATCCTCCTCGTCCCTGCACCTGCTCCCGATTCCTCTCACGTGGGGACGACTTGACTGAGCCTCACACTGAGCCTCTGCTCTCTCCTCTCCCTCCTGGGATTTCAGAATAAGTGGGATGCCCTGGGACGGGGCATCGTGGTCAGTGTTTCTGGGAGAGCAAGGTGTGGTTGAGGTCCCTTGGGATGGGGAGAAGCCACTGTCATAACTGCCGCTGTGTGTGAGCAGGGTCTCTGCAGTGGCCAAGGAGACAAAGGCACAGAGTACTCGGACAAGTGCTCTGGGCCACGGTGAAGGTGCAGTGGTACCCGAATTCAAATGCAGGACTACTCAACACTTTAAAAGCCTGGGGCTCTTGGCTTTTATTCCCTACTGAGCTTCTGAGTCAGGCCCTTCCCTGGTTCTTCTCTTAACGCAGCTTCCTCTCCTTCAGCTCTCCACTCTCTCTCATGATATCTGTGCCACCCTCCAATCCCTTTTAAGTGACATACTCTATTCCATATCGATAGTATATAATTTTAACATAAAACAAGGCATGGATTTACAGGCAGTATAAAATCATAGCCTGAAGTATACCTTTGCTGCAATGAAGAAGGGCCCCCAATGGAATGCAATTGGCCGAGTTGACTTTCCATCAGTATTTGCTTAGTACAGAAGCACCAGGGCAAACACTTGAGAAAAAATCGTGATGGGAGAAAAGTTAAAAAGAGACGAAAACCAGTTTTCCTTTAGAGCATGTTATTTTGAGGTTGACCGTCTCACTGTGACCTGTGGAATTCAGGTGTTCTTTGGGCATGAGGTTTAAGGAGCCATTGCGTTAACCACACAGGAGCTGATAGCTCCTGCACTGTTAGAACGTTATTAAAGCATTATCCTCTTTCGAGATGAGCCGCTTTACGGTTTTTCACCATCCTCTTCAAAGGTCGCTTAGAGGGCTTGTTCTGATCTTCGTGGGCTTGATTGGTACTTCACTTAAGAGCCCATACGTCTCCCACGAGAGTCGTGGTTGCGCCTGCCCATGTTTCTTCCCCATGCTTGCCAGCTTCTCCATGTCGGGCATGCGGCTCTGTGCATGTGTGCGTTTCTCACGTCTCGCATGCTCTGTTGGGTTGTGTAACTGACGAGACATTAAAAGGTGCTTCATGGGTTGAAGAAAGAGACTCAACTAGCAGGGGTGGGGTGGGGTGCACACAAGGGAAGGTGGGGCAAGAGACCCAGGTGTAAGTATGAACGTGTGACGATGCCGTGATGGCTTACTTTGTGTGCTAACCTAAAAATTAATAACAATAAAAAGCCAAAGATACTTCCTTGCGAGTCCGGCTCAGTGAGTGTTAGGAGGAGAAACAAACTCCCAAGGCCTGCCTGGTTCCTTTGTCCCTGAGGCTCTGAGCTGGAGTGGAGTTTTCAGCGCTCTGGGACTAGGGGAGAGATGTCACGTCTTGCACAGAGGAAAGCAGACTCATTCATTAGCACACTGTGACCACAAAGTCGCGTAGTGAACAGACTGGGTGGCATCTGGGAGGCGAGAACAAGATGTCAACCTCAGTCATAGTTTTTTCTCTTCCAAGAAATGTCATCCCATGATCTCGAAGATTTTCATTACTATAGAAGTGAAGGTGTCAAAGTTTTTGCTTAATGGTCCTAAATGTTTGCCAGTTTTATTTAAAAAGTACCAATGTGTTTTCACAGTAAACCTGTTTGCAATTAGATTGGGAAATTTTATCATGTTGTCCATTTTAATGCTTCTAGAATAAATATTCTTGCTTACCTACATATACTTATGAGTGTTCACTGATTTTGTTCATCCTACAGATCAATTTCAGCCAGGAGTGAGATATAATTTTTACCTCTATGGGTGCACTCCTCAGGGATATCAATTGTTGCGTTCTATAATTGGATACATAGAAGAATTAGGTAAGTTAAATCAATGAGTTAATTTTTTTAAAAGTTTGGATAACATGAGAAATTATGAATAGGCAAATAGCAAGAGTTAGTCTCCAAAATATATTGATTTAGTTGTTTAGATCAAGGAAGATAAAATAATGTCTGTCACAAATTTAAATTTTTTAATCACTTATTCTCCAATAAAAATATACTTGTTTATTTCACAGTTTCAGTCTTGGCATTGAGAAAGCTAAATCAAGGCTGTCAAAAATACTTGCTTTGTGTTTATAAACGCTTAAACTTGGGAATGTATCCAGGACTAAATAAAAAGGGGGGGCTTAGCATGAAGTCTGTTCGAGTGGTCACTTAAAGATGTGGCACAGGTTATCCCTGGATGTGTGTCAAGGCTATGATTCCTTCCTGAGCTCCGCTGGCCATCAGTGTGGAAGTGTTGGCCCATTGCCTGCGGGGTGCATGACAGAGCAGAGAATACAGTTTAGTGCCACGGTTGGCCGCCTCTGAAGTCAGCCCCCTCAAAAGCTGCTGGTGCCCCACCCTTCAGCAAGTGGTTTCTTGTTTTGACAGCTCCAATTGTGGCACCGAATTTTACCGTGGAAGATACGTCTGCAGATTCGATCTTGGTAAAATGGGAAGACATCCCTGTGGAAGAGCTCCGCGGCTTTTTAAGAGGGTATTTATTTTACTTCCAGAAAGGAGAGCGAGATACACCTAAGACGAGGAGTTTCGAGCCGGGTGAGTTAATGCAGCATTGGTTACGGTGCTAAAATACACATAAAGAGAAAAGGCTGATGCATAGCTACATAACCGTTCCCAAGGCTGTCCAGAAAGGGGTACAATAAATAGCATGTAAATTCTTCAAAAGTCAGAATCACTTACTGTGAATCCTTCCCTTGTGAGTCCCACAGAAGGGCGTCCACTTCTTGCTAGTGTGGCATATTCTATACCATAGGATATTATTCATGTTTTAAAATGTGGTTTTGTATTTAATAGCAAAAGAGGCAGAAAAGAAAAACCATGAATACAAAGAATGGGTTCCAAGCCCCAGTTATAATCAGGAATCAAAGTGGTGGCAGACTTGCCTGTCAGCGGGTACTGGAAGATACTGCAGAAGCATCTTCAAAACGCTGAGCAACTGCTATTCTCTGCCTAAAATTCTGCAGCCAGCCTCTCTGTCAGACAGTAGCAGGGTAGGAGGAAGGTTCTCTAGGCAAGCAAGGCTGCAAGTGTTTCCTTCCCCTGTACCGCCCTTCTCTGGAATCTGCTAGAAGGAAACTGCCTCACTGACTGGACAAGAAGGAGGAACTCGCAGAAAGGAGCTGGGGAGTGGGGTAGGGTCAGTGGAGAGGGCAGCATATGCCACAGGGGCTAGAGGAGCAGCCCCCATCGGGAGGAAGTGGGAGCCTGAGGGATGGTTACTTCCATACATGGAAAATGTACTGAGCATTCGCTGAAGCGCATGGGAAGAACTGAGAAATTAGCACATAGAAATTTTAAAACAATTAAGCAAAAGAAAGGCAGAAAGCAATTACAATAGGAAAGAAAAATGCAAATATACCAAGTAGCTTTTTAAAAAAAAAAAAAAAAAAAAAACCAATGACCAATCTTCTGTGATTGTAGCAATGTGAGCATTGAATTCCCTCACCCAATGTGGTGATGCTTCTCTGTGAATGTGGTAGGGGACAGGCAAGGATAGTGAGTCTAAAGGAGCTAAACCTCCTCCATCCTTTCTGAACAAACATAGGCTAAGAGCTGGTTACCTAAGCTTGCTGTTGTGAAATCCAGGTAAACTTACAGAAAGGCTCCCTGCTTTCTAGGTGGCGGTGGAGGCGAGGGGCCAGAAGGACCTGGTTCATTTTGTCAGTCACTGTGTTTATTACTGCTTGGCTGTTTCAGCTCTCGCCTTACATTATTTTGGTTGAGACTTTCATGAACAAAACAGTTAACCAGTCTTCACCCTTCCCTTTGAAGTGACCCCAAAGCATCCTCGTAGCATCCTGTTGTTGAGAATTCCCACCACGTGCGTCCTTTCGTAAGGACTGAGGTCATGTCTACTGCCCTTCACCTTTGCCCTACCCAGTCTCTGCCACTGCTTCCTAAGGGCCCGTGTTGAGTGCCTTTGAGTTTCAGGGCTTTCACTGAAGTGAGTTTCACGGGTTGCCCGCCCTATGCCAGGCATTGTTCTAAAGAGGACGCCTGGAAACTTGACCGTCGCTGGGAGCCAAGCCATGCTGTTCCCTTGCAGAGTCAGAATTTAGATAGGGTGGCTGGCAGGAATATAACTGAAGGTGGCCCCAGATCCTTGTCTGGGTGTGGCCAGAAGTCAGACTTGTTTCCCAAAGGGTGCCTGGTTGCGTGTCCGAGTGTTTAAAGTGACCTTAGAATGAGTGAGACTATTCTTCGCTTTAGGTCATTCTGACATCAAGCTGAAAAATATCACTGACATATCCCAGAAGACGCTGAGGATTGCCGATCTTCAGGGGAAAACCAGTTACCACCTGGTCCTGCGAGCCTACACGCATGGCGGCCTGGGTCCAGAGAAGAGCATGTTTGTAGTGACCAAGGAAAACTGTAAGTTCCACAATGCCCTAGAAACATCTTTTCCACTGAAGTGATACTGTCTCTAGCATCTGGGGGCTGCCCAGGCATCTTTGTTCCAAACCCTAAGGCAGTGGTTCTCAGCCTTCCTGGTGCTGTGACCCCCAACCATAAAATTATCTTCATTACTACCTCATAACTATAACTTTGCTACTATTGTGAATCATAATGTAAATATGTTTTGGAGATGGAAGTTTGTCAGAGGGGTCACGACCCTCAGGTTGAGAACCATTGCTCTAAGGCTTCGTATTTTTATGTCAGAATGGGGAGAGTGTTAAAAGTCACGAGAGGACTTTTTGTTTTGTTTTCTTGTCAGTTTGAACAAACTATTTCCCAATGAGTATATAAGAAATTAATTAATCTAGGGAAGCACCTAAAATCTAGAATTGTAAATGCATAATGGATTTTTTTTTCTAAATCCAGTTTTAAGTATTTTCCCCAGCTAGTTTGATTTTAATATGTCTAGGGAAGTATGTAAGGAACATTTATTAAAGGTTAGTAAAACACCACACTTTGTATGTCTTAAATGGTACTCAACAAGTAGCCCTTGCTGTCATGAGAGAGCTTCTGGTTCAACTTGAGTGTTCCCCTCAGCCAGGATGGAGTTCACATCCAGGTCTGAAGTACAGCGCCATAACACTGTGGTGTACTAAAGCTGTGTTTCAGAGGGAGGTGGTTTTGCCCCCTCGAAGACATCTTGGCAATGCCTGGGGGTATTTTTGACGGTAACTGAAGTGCTGCTGGCATCTCCTGGGTAGAGACCAGGATGTGGCTAAGCCTCCCACCGCGGCCAGGACAGCCCTCCCCTCCCCTCCTCACACCAGAAACATCTGGCCCTGTGTGACCAATGACAGGGTTGAGCAATTCTGCTGTTTCTCAGTGTCCCTGGATTGGTTAGATTTTTTTTTTCTGTCTCTTCAAATAACACTTAATCCTAATTGAAGTTTATTCTGTGCCCAGCACTTCCAGAGGTGATTTTCAATATTTATAACTGCTTCCTTTCAGCTGTGGGGTTAATTATCGCCATCCTCATCCCAGTGGCCGTGGCTGTCACTGTTGGCGTGGTGACAAGCATCCTGTGCTATCGGAAGCGAGAATGGTAATGGAACGTCCGTATTCACCCATTTGTTTGTTTGCCAGCTTCACTATCCGGTCGTGTTGCGCAGACTGGTCAAATATGCTCTTTTTAGTCAGAACGTCAGCTTCAGTATCAAGTAAGAATATGACATTTGATTGAAAATATTTAAGAACTCATAGAGTAAAAAGGCATATCCCCCGCCCCCCGCGCGCTGTCTTTACTAATAATTTATAGTAATGGCATATTGGCTTTAAAGATATTTTCACACAGAAATTGACAGTGGCTATCTGCAGGATTCGATGGACCCTAATGATTAAGATGGCTCAGGTCCTGATGACCCGTTAGAATTGTTCTTTTGTTCCCTTATGCATCACGTGTGGATGCCCCTTCCATGAGAAAGCCAGCCTGGGCTTCAGAGTTTAACAGTGCAGTGAGAGAAGGACCAGGCAAGCAAGGAACTAGTCCGCATAGTCTCCGGTCTTTAGGAACTCCAAATGATGGCGTTCTTTGTAGTTATAAGTGTAAAGATATAGGATGTCGAGCAAACCTTGTTTTCCCTGATGTCGAATTTTTATCTGAAGTTTTTAGCTTTTTTATTTATTTATTTATTTATTTATTTTAGTTCAGCAGGCAGTGTCCCAGTCTCTCATGCCCCGTCACCTTTAATACTTTCTGTTATCTTTTTAATCTGGTATAGGTGACTCATGCCTGTAATCCCAGGGCTAGGGGTGCTGAGGCAGGGGGAGTACCACAAGTTCAAGGCCAGCCTGGGCTCCCTGAGGCTCTACCACCAAAAACAAGCAAGCAAACGAATAAAAACAAAAACTGAAAATAGAATTAATACTTTAAAAATGCAAGCGCTCACTGTGCTTCCCCACCTTACCTGAGCGCTTCCCTGCCAGTTTAGGCCCTGTGCTGAGGAGAGGCCAGCTTAGCAGACAGGTCCCTTGAGTCACCGGCCCGGCTTCATCCAGTTTAGGGTGAAAACTTGGCAGTGAGACCCGTGAGACACGATAGCAGCCATCGCTGTAAATTATTTACTTTTACTTTCTTGACCCAATAAGGTCTTGTAGCTCGAGCATGGTCCGTCTTATGGTCCGCAGCGTGCACACTGGAGCCCTGTGTCGGATCGCTAGCGAGTGACCCATGGTCTAGAGCCTCCATCTGTGTCTCGGGTGCCCTTTGGCGTGGTCACGAAAACAGTCTCCAGCCAAGCCAAATGACTTCTTCATTCTGTTACACGGTCGCCACGTGATAGTTACTAAACCTGATTCGTTCTTTCTTTGAAGGATTAAGGAGACGTTCTACCCTGATATTCCCAACCCAGAGAACTGTAAAGCCTTACAGTTCCAGAAGAGCCTCTGCGAGGTAACCCTTCGTTCCATGTGTTTGCATTTGGGGACCCGAGGGCTCCTTCTTTCTGTCTTTTGTGAGAAGCTTGTGATGTCAGCCCGAGAAAGAAGTATGAGGAAGGTAGCATGCTTCAGCATCTGCTGAATGTCCAGAGTTCGTCATCTTCAGTGTTTACACCACACTTTTTTTTTAACCACTATGAATAGTAAGGAAAATATTGACGTGGAGGAGGAAAAAAAAGTAGTTTTGCTCTGGATGTGAACTGCAGAACTGCTGAGGCCAGTGTTTATAAACAGATGTGAAGGGGGGAAAAGTAAAATACAAGTCTTTCTGTCAGAGGAGCCCCGCTGAAGCATGCAATATTGTCCTAACCACTGTTCTGAACTTATTTCCAGGGAAGCAGTGCTCTCAAAACATTGGAAATGAACCCCTGTACTCCAAATAACGTTGAAGTTCTGGAATCTCGATCCATCGTTCCTAAAATAGAAGATACAGAAATAATCTCCCCCGTGGCCGAGCGTCCTGCCGAGAGCTCTGAGCCGGACCCCGAGAACCACGTGGTTGTGTCTTACTGCCCACCCATCATCGAGGAGGAAATAGCGAACCCCACAGCAGACGAAGCGGGAGGGACTTCCCAGGTCGTGTACATCGATGTTCAGTCCATGTACCAGCCTCAGGCCAAGCCAGAGGAAGAGCAGGACAGTGACCCCGCGGTGGCGGCCGGCTATAAGCCGCAGATGCGCCTCCCCATTAACTCTGCTGTGGAGGACACAGCCACTGAAGACGAAGCCGATAAGGCTGCGGGCTACAGACCTCAGGCCAATGTGAATACTTGGAATTTGGTCTCTCCAGATTCCCCAAGGTCTACAGACAGCAACAGTGAAATTGTCTCTTTTGGAAGTCCATGCTCCATCAATTCCAGGCAGTTTTTGATTCCTCCTAAAGATGATGACTCCCCTAAATCTAACGGAGGCGGGTGGTCCTTCACAAACTTTTTCCAGAACAAACCAAACGACTAACCCAGCACCCTTTGCCCGTGCAGTCTGCCATCTCAACGTCCCAGCAGTAGCTGGGGCATTCATTCCTGGAGGGACTCAGCGAAGGTGGAGAGCCAGAGACCTTCCCTCCGGGCAAGTGACACTAGAAGCGAGCTTTTAATGTACCCTAAAAGCCCAAGTCCAGTGACTCGGAAACCTCAGCCACAGAAACTCAAGATTTGAAGCTGTTTTTGATTGAGCCAAAGAATCCTCCAGAAGGATTTCCCGACTAACTCTGCCTAGTTCGTATATGCAAAACAAATCTCAACAACTGTCTGTTGTTACTGGTTTTCTCGTCTTTGTATGTTATGGAGTTCCAAGTGGATTTACAGGCCAGGAAGAAAAATGGACAAGTCAAAATAACGCTACTTCGCCTGACATTTACTGCGGTCTAGAGGAAAACCAAACACAGATTTTAAAACTTTTACGATGCCTCTATCCTCAGCATTTACAAAAGCGAGTCTAGTTTTTCATGTAGCAGCCGCTATCTGGTGTGTTCTGCTTGGTAGAGTGTACCGATGTCTGTGCCTGTCTGGTATTCCAGGTGACGGGGCGTGCTGATTTCTCTGCCTACTGTATAACGGTTACCAAACAGTTGTCTCAGGGGTACAAACTTGGAAAAACAAGTGTGACACTGACCAGCCAGAATCAGAATCACACTGTCCTGCTTTAGCAGGGTGTGAAAACCTTTTTCCTGTCATGTCGCTGGCATGCTGGCTTCCGTTGGGCAGCCCGTTGTCCTCATGTTGGAAATTTCTAGAACTAGCTCCAGATTTTCTGTGCATTTTTGTTTTGTGTTATGGTGTCTGTTTTGTAAGAACAAAGTCAGCATTATTCACGAGTATATAGTTGTGATGAGTTACTATGTAAGATGACTACTAAGAGCTAACTACTGGTGCGTGCTGACCCCAAGCTCTGATACGGCTCTGCTCCCCTGAGAAGGTTTGCCATCCACCTGACCAGTAGCGAATGATGATCTTTGGGGTCTCTCGGTAGCTTTCTCCTGCTCACGAGCCCCAGCCCCTCCTCCTTCAGGCAATTAGTGGTCCAGACTCTCAGACCCAATCTTCACATCCGTAAGCTTAAACCTAAAGGGAGATCATTTCTCCCCAGAGCAGCTAGTAAATGGTGACTTTAATAGAAGTCGTAACGCTTACGGAATTGCTGGGTAGTGGCTGTGGTTGCTCTGTGAGCCATGAAGAGCCGGGTCCGAGCACAGCACCCTCCATCTATCCTGGTTTCTCATCAGCAATGTGTACAGTGAATGAGGGTCTCAGAAAAGCAGAGTAAAAACCTAAGTGTATGTATGCTGTGTGTTTGTGTTTGCTCTGCCCTTTATTGTCAAGTGTGTAAGTATGTGAGTTTGAAACACCTGAGTAGACGTTTGTTCTGTGTCATCTGAAGTCCCCCAAACTGTGCAGATAGTGTATTGGTTTTTTAGTTCTTAATCTCTTTTTACTTTTACTCCTTCCTTCCTTCCTTCCTTCCTTCCTTCCTTCCTTCCTTCCTTCCTTCCTTCCTTCCCTCCTTCCTTCCTACCTTCCTACCTTCCTTCCTTCCTTCCTTTCTTCCTTCCTTCCTTCCTTCCTTCCTTCCTTCCTTCCTTCCTTCCTTCCTTCCTACACGACCTCATTATGTAGCTCCAGCTGTCCAAGAACTCACTGTGTAGACCAGGCTGGCCCCAAACTCACAGAGATCCACCTGCCTCTGCTTCCTGAGTGCTGGGATTAAAGGCGTGCGCCACCATGCCTGGTCTCATATTTTCTCTTTTAAAAAGTCATGTGGAAAAAAAAAATGCAGGATGACAAGGGATAAAGTCAGATAATGAGTGCATGACCCTGTTTTTAACCCCAGGTTGCAGCTACATTTTGGAGCTTCGTGATACGATGGTTTGTGGAGTGAAAGCAATTAGTTATGCATTTATATAATAAATAAAAGGTAGATAATAACTCTTAGAAACTTTCAGTAATGAAAACTATTCCAAGCTAGCGTCAGCTCCCAACAGTTTAATTTGTCCCTTGTGCCTTCCCTCTCTGGGTCCTTTCTTGACTCTCCACCCAGCCGCTCTGAGCCCTGGCTGCCGCCTCCCCTGCCACGCTGCCTCCTCCCGTGCCACATCTTGTTAATGCTCTGCTCTGCTCGCCTTCAGCCGATGCCTCATTCCCCACTGAAGCTCATCCGTTTTCTCTTCCATCTGATGGGGGTGAGTGTCAGGGAAGGTAGTAGCTCATCCCTCTGAACTACATCAACCTGAGAACATCAAAACAGGCCCCTTTCACGTGAGGGACATTTAGAACGCTGCTCATCCTACCCTGCCTCTGAATTCCAGTCTCCAGGACCGCTAGGCCACTGAGAAGCGGGGGTACCCACAGATCATTTTAGGAAAACGTAGCTGGGGACTGAGGCTGAGGCCGATATCCTTGTCTTTTCCCATTGGATTGAAGACAGCAGCATCCCCAGGCAGTGTTCTTATCTCTGCAGTTCCTGCTGAGTTGTGCTCACAGAAGAAGCCTGGCAGGGAGAGGACAGGGGAGAAAGGGACGTGCAGGGCATGTTTCTGTAAGCCTGTTTCACTCTGATTCCCCTGTGAGCAGTGGAGATGGGGGGGGGGTGTATCATAATACTTGGGAGTGGCCATTTTCAATCTTTAATTTAGTCTTAAATACTTAACTCGGCTTTTGGCGTGAGAGCTGTGAGCTGTGTGCCACGTTAATTAGCACTGCTGTGGCTTCCGAATTCTCCCAGTCGTTGAACTGGCAGTGTCCTGGATTTGAGATGGTTGTACTGCGCATCTAGAAAGTTGAGCGTGTGCCTATGCTGTGTGATAGAGGTGCTTTTGTTCCCGCTGCTGGCAACAGAAGCAGCCATTCATTGGGAAGCTGGAGGGAGGAAGTGTCAGGCTCGTTTTCCATATTAGCATTGCTCCCATGGTTCACGGAACTTGAAGGCTTGCATTCAGAACACCGAGCACTGTCGTACTCAGCCATGGCAGAAAGTCACATTCTCAGACCTTGCAAGCTGAAGTCTTGTTAGAAATTTCCCCTGCCCCAGTAATTTATCAAATATCACAGTCCTTTCTGTGTTAATTAAATGAATGTAATTTAGTGAAAAGCTTAGAGAATTTCTCCTCTCAATGGGAATTCGAAATCAATGTTGTGGTATTTTTTTTTTCAATTATAAAGTACCCCTTAATATGTCAATATGCAGAAAGTATTATCTCCAAGTTTCTTACTGCTTAGGCATTTAATCTGGTGAAACTTCTTTGTTTGCGCTAAGGCAACTTTTGCTGTTTCCTGTTTCAAACTGTGTTAGAATTAGCGAAATGCTTTCTCAAAGGATTCTGGAAGTGTGATCCTTGGCTTCCCAAGTGAAGAAGCATGGGGAAAGGGTCCTTAGCTGCTAATGCCAGGCACACAGCGGCAGCCCAGTGGCTGTGTGCATGGAGTCCCTCCCGAGTGTTACAAACTCAGCAGAACTGTCTGGATGCTAAAGATTAAGATGTAGCTCACATATAGCTGAGTGCTTTGAGTATACGGTAGAAGCGGCCCCACAGTTGGAGGAAAAGCAGCAGGTATTTCTTCAGACACCGTCAGCATACTTGGAACCATGTGGAGTTTGCTTTTATCCAACGAGTTTCCCATCTGGAGACGCGTTTGTACCAACCTAGCATATGTTACGGCGAGCCATGTGTGTGAGCTTAATTGATTAACAGAAGAACTCGTTCTCTTTGTGAGAGATCTCCAGACATTTCCTCTGAACTGATATTTCTGCTGAGACAGCTTCATGCTGCCATACCTGTCTCCCTCTTGTACCCAAAGGCCGGGGGGTGGGGAGAAGTGTGGCCAAACTTACAGGACACTAATCTTTTAGATATAACCCTAGAATTGCTTTCAAATTCATTTCACCTGAATCATGATTCTGCCCCAGTGCTATTTATACCGCTAAGGCCTCTCAGTTAAACTAGAGTCGTTACATTTTTTTTTTACTCCTTTTCAATTGCTGCTTTTATCTTGGTAAATTGCATAATCATGTTCATGCTGATTATAATACAGATGAATTATTTCTAAATGCAGGCATAAAGGATGGAGAATGGCATTCAGCTGAGCAATATCAAGTTTTCTTTCATCTGGTTAGAGTTTCTGGGGTTGTTATTTGGTCTAATTAGCCACATGTTTCTAATTATGATATTAGATTATGACTGGATCCCCTTGATTTTAACTAGAGTAGTGCCTGTTCTCCTTGCATCATGAATGATAATTTTTTTTTGTCCAAGGTGTAAATAGAATTTGCCGAAGTTAAATTTTAACTGTGGTATGCTTTTATTATAAATAAACTGTAACGGATTGCACATTAACTAGATATAAACCCATAATAATTTATATTACTTTCTGGTAGCTGGAACTGAATCCCTTAGAAATGAAAAATAAATGCTGAGAAAAATTGATGAGGAAATGAATGTTTATTACATTCATATGTGTCTTCAAGATCACCCTTGTGCTAGTCAATCAGAACTTTAGAAGAACTCAAACTATTGCAGACTTTTTGCTGTACTTGTGCCTAAGATATTGGGTGTGTCTAATTGGGCGACTACTTAAAGTTATTCTGTTTCCTTATGTGCACTTTTATTGTTAATTACTCCCTTTCAAATGGGCAGTTTCAGCTTCTGGACCTGCTTCCAGATATTCCAGGAGCATATCCTCAAATATCGAAATATTTTTAGGTGATCATCCAGTCTTCCTCAAGTCAGGGACAACGTCGTACTTTGGCAGGTGCTCACAGAACAAAATGAATAACAGCTTTCAGATGAGTCTTCCTGTCGGCTCCGCAGGCCGTCACCTGTCCTCTCCTGGTAGGCCGACTATTAGCCGCTGTTCCTTCTGTTTAATTTTCCTGCCAATGTGTGATGTAAGAAAGTATGGAATACCGCGGTGAAGCATTGAAGAGAAAGCCCTGTTCAGCTCCTTATGGTGGGGGAGGTATGGTGGGGTACCCTGAGACGGAGCAACTGCTGAACTACATCCCGTTCAGAGTCGTTCCAAAAAGATTGTTCTGGATAGAAACAGATACCCAGAGTCTGAGATGTTTCCAATGTACAGGCATCTTCAAAGGTAATGTAAGCCATCTACAAGTCCTCAGTGTTCCTAGAAAGAGGTTTTTTCCAATTTTTTTAAACCAAACCTTTCATTAGTTGATCATAAGCCATTATCCCTGTAACACTAAAGAAATTGCCATTTTTTCCTTTCAGAGTTGCATTACCGTGCGTTACTGTTTACAAAAATACACATACTGTGAACAGATAGTTTTTGTCTTTTATAAGGTTTGTAGAGTGAATGTTTTTTTTTTTTTCAAGATGGTGTTATGTTGAATAGTTTTAGGTTTTTGTAAATAGTAGCTGTTTACTAACTTTCGTTTGGTCAGGTGTGTCTGTGTAGCTGGGAGAAGATAGACTTTACCGTTTCCTCAGTTTCCCCTTGCCGTTTCCTGTCGAGCCACCACTACAGACGTTTTTGTGTTCACATAAGTGATCGGTTATGACGTGCAATACTTAAAGTCATGTTTCATCCTCTACGGAATCTTTTAAAAATGCATATACGGGAAGCAAACCAGATTGATGTGTGTCTCCGTGACTCGCAGAATTCTGACTTGCGTATGGAATAAAACAACACTCACAGAGATTGCTAACCAAAGTATTTCCAGCCTTGTGAAATTTTGGATATGATATTGCTGTTAGAATGAGAAATCTGAACATTTTATATCCTAATTTCAGAATTTAGCTTCCACGTCTTTTGGGAAACATGATTATCACAAGAACATAGAATATGTAAATAACCTATTACTAAGACACTATAAATATCCTACTAGTATTGCTTGGCTGTTAATTCTATAAAGATGTTACCTATGTCTGTTTTTAAAACATGCATGTATTTAACAGTTTTATCATAGTATTGTCATGGAAAGAAATAAATATATTTTCTTACATCTTACCCTGGTGAATGGGGACGTTACTGATTTGGTGTCTTTTCTCTCGTGCTCAAACATCTAGGAAAAGTGGTTTTCGCTTTGTTTTTTGTTTTGTTTTGATCTTACAAAAATCACAGCGGTGCTAAAATAGTCACCGAAACTCTAGCCATGTTTTTGGTATTTGATGATGACATCATTGTGCTGATGATTGCACTTTCTGTTTGCTCTGTTAAATTAGGCTTATATTTTTAGAGAAAAAAAAACGATTTAATAAGTGAGAACCTTACATTTTAATAAATAAAATTAATGTTTAGAAAATGGGAGCCCAGCGTTAGCAAAGGAAGGAAGGAGAGAGAGAAAAGTGCTGATCCTTAAAGCAAGGATTTTAATTTATCTCCCAAGATAGCCAAATATTTCAGGAGTTTCTGGGAAGGCATTAAAATTTCAGCTTACTGAATCTTGAAATATAGCCACCGACATAGCAAAACTCTAGTCATTTTGAAGTATGCGGGTGCCATTAGAGGCTTATATTGCGAGAAATGGAGGTCTTTGTTTGCTATAGCTAGTTCAGACTTACCCCGAGCAACAGGCACCATGAATGGGCCTGATTTTAGCCTGTAAAAGTGCAAGTCCGCTGTAAATTACTTGTGAAACACATGTTAATATTTAAGTGCTAGAAAAGCTCCCACATATGGTCCGTACTTTGGGGAATTCTCAATGCAGAACTTGTTCCCAGAAGGTGAGTTCTGCAGCCAAAATCTGTTACCGCCATTACCTTGAGGAACTGAAAAAGCTAAAGAGAAGAATGATGTGCTTATTAGGAAAAAAGAAACACAAGAGATGGATGAATAAATGGTAACGCATGATACCCAGCGTCGCAGTACAACGTTGGCTAGCAAACCTTGGTCCTTTACAAAAGAACGATAGAATTCATTTTAAATGACATATACATTTGACCCAGTTCCCATCCCCACGAATGGCCAGCAGTAAAACTGATTTCAGGACATTTAGTCTTTATAACCCAGGGAAATTGAGATAATGAGAGATGACTTGAACTGATCCAAAATTAAATTGAAGATGATTTTTATTCCTAGAAGATCAGTCTCAGGTTGTGGGAATAAGAAAAGCACTGGAAGATGGTTTCGATAAGCTGTCAGATGGAAATAATGTGGGAATGAGTGGAGCCCAGTGCATTCATCTTTCTGGTGGCTAAATGCTTGAAAGGGAGAAATCGTTTTACGTTCCAGCTAAGATTTCAATCATCTGTCCCCTTTCGGCCCCAGCCAGCCTGTCACCACTGCAGACATATGTCAGTGTGCCAGGCAGCCTGAGAGGAAGGCATAACTGGACTCTGTCTCTCTCTTCCTCCCCCTCAGAGAGCTGGTGGAGGCCGAGGAAGCAGTATCGAGAGTAGACGGCTTGCTGGCTTGCCCTCACTGCTGCTTGCCCACTCGCACTGCAGACAGCTCGCACACCCCATCAGAAGCGAACCGAGAGTTCTTACCCGCCCAGAACCAACAGAACGCTATTGGCTGGGCCTGGTTTCTCTTTTCAAGTTTGTGCTGAAGGCTCTGCCATGTTTGTGTGAAGCTGTGCAGTCCTATCTAGGTTCCTGAGCTCACCACTGGTCACCTGGACCATACTGGAGGATGCTCAGACTCCCTCCCATCCCAGGCATTTTGAAACCTGGACCTCGATGCAGATTACAAGAATACTAAGGCTGTTAGGAGCCAAGCACTCCCTGCAGGAGAGATGCTCACTTTCGACATGACCCCCTTCCTGGCCATCACTGTAAAGGCGTAAATGCTTGCGTATTTAGACATCCCCAGTGCAGTGCGGAGGTTGGCAGCATAGCCTTAGAAGGAGCCCCCCTGACGTCTGTTTCAGTGGAGCTCTGCTGGAGCCCCCACTTTGCTCAGGTCATTTCTTCCACCCTCAAGTGTCGGTTGCACGTTCTCGGGTCCTGCGAGCTTCTGCCACTGTTCTTAGGTCCTCGGTCCTTGGTTTGCTGCAGCCCCTGCAGTTTCCCCTGGCTCCATGCACCTTTGTTTGGAATTCAGACGGGGTGGGGGAGGCCTGGCATGTGTAACAGCCACAGTTTGGTGCAGTACAGGCCACATTTAGGGGCTTGGCAAGTCTTTGAATGTGCCTTGAGGGGGAGAGAAAGGACAGGTGCAGTCCCTGGTTATTTTATACAGGGTGATTCCTTTGGCGCAGTCTCCAGCCATGGAAAGAGGAAGAACCCTCATTAAACTTCTGTGCTTGGACCAGAAGTACCCTGTGGTACCTATAGGGAAATCTTGACTGAATAAATCGATACTAAAGAAAAATTAGAAAGATGAAAGATGTTTGTGTAACCTTGCGCATCATTGACCCTTTGTTAACATTTAACTTTTTGACATTTTAAACATGCTGTATGTTCTGTTTGGAAACTATGTTCATTTATTTAATATGTCTTGAAAAGCATATTCATAGTTTTATTTATTTATTTATTTATTTGAGACAGGGTTTCTCTAGCTTTGAAGCTTGCCCTGGAACTCACTTTGTAGACCAGGCTGGCCTCGAACTCATAGAGATCCACCTGCCTCTGCTTCCCCAGTGCTGGGATTAAAGGCATGTGCCACCACCACCTGGCTATCAACAGTATAT